AAAAGATACACTTATCTCTTTCTGTCTGTCTGTCTGCCCCCCCCCCCCCCCGCCCCCCCTCTCTCTCTCTCTCTCTCTGCATCTCCTCCTACCTGTACATAGCTTCACATTGTACCAAAACCTGTCCAAGCAATCTACTTCAGCAGTCGGTTTAGTCCTGTCCGTGCTACTACCGACCGACCCGCTTTGTTTGCATTTAATTTTGAGACGTGGGTTGGTGACTGCCATGCCAAGGTCAAAGTGCCATTATGATTATGACTAATTTGGCCCAAAACAAATTGGATTATTCGATGGGAAATGGGTCATAAAGCTTGTCAAAAAAAGCTTCTGAAGCAAGTGGACACAAAAATGAGCATGTAACATTTAGTTTGCCATATAGGCCTAGCTCCAACATTGTCATAACAAACTTTCATGGAGCTATATCGTTTTTGTTTTTATTTTTATGAGAATAGAGAAGAAAACCAGTTCTTGATATTTATGTTAGATCTGCCATCTCCCTACTTTCCAATAAAACTATAAGCAAAAGTCTGAGCTATTTCTTTGAAGATATTTTCTATATTCAAGATGCAAAGCAGAATCAAGACCCAAAATACATCAATATAGGCCTGGTCACAACCTCATTGTGTTATCCTAAGGCAGCATCAATGCCTGGTCACCTACACTTGTTTGTTGTTTGTTTGTTTTTGTTAGGTAGGCCTTCCTGAAGTGGTATACACTTTTCTTCAGTCTTTTTGTCTTGTTCTATAGCATACAGTAGGTGACTTTCAAAAGTAGGGTATGAATACCGAACAGTGTCGGTAGTTCAAAGTTTCATTGTGGTATTGTTTCAATACAGAAGTTGGGTTTCTTTCAAAAAATGTTTACACAGGGCAAGAGGGCAAAGGTAGCAAACAAAATTATAAAAACCTCTCAAAATAGCGGTAGCAACAATTTGACCATGCATACAAAGGTCCTATTTTATGTTTTTTGTGCACAAATCGGAAGTGTTCTGAATTGCAAAACAAGCAAGGAAAATGGCAAGCAGGTGTAAAGTGGAGCTTTACTTCAAGACAACCGAATTCTTAAAAATATGCATGAATGAGTGTTTTGTTTATACTTATTTGTTAAACAGTAAGACATATACAATATTCAAACAGTTTGATGTTTCATTCATCCTTCACACATATAAAATCTGGTACCTGTACCTGTAAAGCTTTTTCTGTATTAGTTCTTTTATTATCGAAATCCATCCCCAGTTCAACTTCTGAACATTGCACACAAATAGGCAGCACATGGGAGGTATTTTAGTAACCTGATATGATACATGTCTTTCAAATGTTGATAAAGATTGAATTTGATCAGAAGGTGGAAACACGTGTGGGGTTTCTTTTCTTGGTTTTGGGGTGAAAGAAATCAAAGAATTCCCGATAATGAAGGGTCCCCATATCTCAACCCCCCAATGGGGTTAGGTTACTGACTGGGATGTCGACAAGCTGTTTAACATTCGCTGGAATAACGGGGAACATTGTCCTCCTAAAACTGGGATGATGTAGATTTAATTGGGACCAGAACTACATAATGTTTCCCTCAGGGTTCGGGAACTCATGAGGAGAGCAAAACAGGCACATTCATCTTGGCTCTTAAAAGTGGAATAACATGTTCAGGTGTGTACTGAATGTGGTGTATAGTACTTGTCCATCCAGATTTTAGCTCTTAAAAACCACCTCTGAATAACCACCTCTGAATTTATTATGCCTATATTGTTTGTAAGGTCATGTGTGAGCCTATATCACTTTATATAAAACACATTTCTTCATAAACTCTCAATACATGTATTTACCCTAGTATGATAAAAGACATCTGCAAAGCCATCACATACAATTGAGAATATTATCTCTTTAATATGTGATACAAATGTTTTATAATGGCTTTCACAAATAGCATCATTCATGAGGGAAGGCATTTTACAAAAACACATTGGGAGAAATAAAACTACCCAACCAAATCCATAAATCATTTTCTCTAAATCCCTATGGTAGACTAAATAATGTCTCCTTTTTGACAGGTAGAGCAGAAATGACCAATTATTCTGTGGCCCATTGTCATACAAAAGCAAACATATAAAATAAAAATGCTTCCTAATGGAATACATGTCCTAATGTCTATGTTTCTCATTGCACATGTATTATAGGCAACTGCTTAAATAGACCACCTGTTACTGTTAGTGACACTTTATTTATTTCTCTCTGCCTTTTTATACAGGTTTTGACACTAACTTGAGATTAATTAAGCAATTTATTCATTTATACATCAATACAACACACCTATATCATGCCATCTATCAAGTAAAACTACATCTTATGCCTCGGTTATTCAAAGAACTCTTGGGTATCTCAGATGAGCAAATCTTAAAGTGGGTGACTTGAGTCACCCCCATGTTATCAGACGAGGGCCCCTCAATTGATGGTCAAATTGTGAATAAGCAGGAAACACTCTGTAACCAATTCAGACTTCTTTAGAGTAAACCAGTTTCCTCAATACCCCCTCTCCACCCCTCTTCCCTTTCCCCTTCCCCTCATCCTATACCAAGTAGTCTTGGCAGACATGCTCAATTCCAAAATGAGCCAGGAGAATGCACATCAACTGGTTTATACAAAAAAGTAAATGATGTACCTTGACTTCTTACCATAATGAACACCATATTATATTTAATTATTTTTTCTCATTTAATACTCTTCAGCAAGTGATGAATATTTATGTTGCACATCTTTGTGCTGAAATATTGATGACATTTGATACATTCTGGTAAAGAGACTATACCCCCTTTTCACCTGCTGAGGTCAAATCCTTAATTCACGCAATTATCGATATAGATTTTTGGGAGAGAGAGAAAAAAGGGGAGGGGGTGAAACGGATTTCACGATAATATCCTGAAATTAGAACTTTACTAAATGAGTTGAGTCAAAATTAGGTTAATTAAATTAATAGCTGAATCAGGTGCTAACTGCTCCTAAGCTGACTTGAACACATCCATTCACATATTGGTAAACAAACTGAAACCAATCACCCTCAAACACCTTAGTATTCAATTAGGGTATCAATTCTGCGTCCATTTTAACAATTTAAATGTATTCTTGCTTCCAATTTTGAATCGGGATTTTTGTAGACCCCAGAGTGCACTTTCAGTGAGAAGAGTTTACCCCTTCATGAAAAATCATATGATTTATATCAAGGTTGTGGGGATTTAAACCCTGCTGAAAATGGCCCCCTTTTCCAATTAGAAGAATGAAACTGATCCGCAGACTAAATAATTGCCTCTTGACTAGATGAATACTCCTCAAAATTGCAACTGTTACCAATTACTTACTTAGGGTTTGTTAATTTTTCAAATTAAGCTGAAGCTTTCGTCCCTGTACAACAAAAAAGAGCTGATTGCAAAATCTTTTGACTCGAATTGAAAGGAAGACCCACCAAGAATTATTCCTTTCTTTCCCCCATATAGGATTTGTTTATATCTAGGGGATAATAATAATTAGTGGTCCCTGGGGTACTATTCTGAGCTGGCCAATTTAGAAACACAAAAGTGTAGGAAGAAAATCTGTGTTGATGCAAATTAGCAACCCCTCAACAGCAAACTGAATATTTACTCAATTATGTATTTCACAGAGGGAAGCCATTTTACGGAAATGCTTACTGGTAAATGAGATAGTTCTTTGAAATATCTTGGGGGCATTTATGTGATACTATAACTATAGAGATTAGCTGTTGATGGATCTTTAAAAAAAATTGTAGTCATTGAGATAAATATGTTAGAATGATAACTGAATATCTTCAATTTCTGAAAATGCTTGGATGAATGAATGTATGCCTTATGCAAAGTGGAAAACGGGAACAAATATCGTTTATACACTTTAGAAATTAGGATTTATATATCAGACATGTACCTTGACACAATTGCAAAGTTTACATAAGTGTATGAAATAAGGATGCTGCTAAAAAAACACACTTCACAATAGCATTGAACCCTTTCATTAAATTAGTAACAGTTTGATTCACACTCCTTAACGATTTGTTGTCACCTTATTGTGTACATGAAGTTGAACGCATCAAATCAAATCATATGTAACAGAATAAACAATCGCAACAATAAAGTCCCTCACAGCTAGATAAGCAGCAGTGCACCTGTTACTTTTTTAATGACACCGTTGACATAAGATCATATCTTCTTTTGTGTTGTTCTATCAATCAAATTCTCAAGTGATGAAATGTTATAATAATTTACAAACCATGCAAATTTGGGATCACTTGCAGTTAGATGAGCAACTATGCACTTTTATGTGCTATTTTAAGCCTTTGTCCCATATTTGCCTTTTGTATGTTGCCCTTTCAATAAAAAAATCACAGGGAAAGGGGTCAGCGTCCGGTCACTGAATCTTAAGAGTGATATAAGAATAAAAGTCTGATGAGATACTTAAGAATGCATTTCAATGAATGGATTGCATCAGTGGTGCGTAGCATTCCTTCCTCTCACTTGGAGGAACTGGAGAGAGACGCTGGCACAAAAAGAAACAAAAAGACGGCCTTCAGGACCAAAATAATGTAACAAATGAAGTCACTAACAGTTCATCTTAGTATTTGATGTGATTCCAACAAAAATGAAGAAAGAATAGATACAGAGAAAGGGATACACAAACTGTGCATAGAATCAACCAAAGAGGGCGCAATCTTGAAAAGACATGTGAAGAACACTAAGATTTGTTCACAATGGTCCAAAATGTCTGTGAATCTTATGCCCCTTTGCTCCATACAGTCCACAAAGTGCATGTTTTTGTTTGTTTTTAATACAAGTTAAAAATATTACAAATTCATTTTCATAATTAACAGAAATACATATATATACGGTATATGTATTTCTAGTCTGGTATGTTACCTCTTACAATGGATAAAAGTTATATTCAATCTTCATTTGATTTTAAGGCGATAAATTGTAACTAAAACCATCTCTTTGTCTCTCTGTTTAGTTCCATCATTCTACTTCGGCGAGCCCGAGTACAAGGTTGACGAGAACACCCCATTCATCGAGGTCACAGTCTTCAGGACTGGTACCGATGTATCCAAGATGGCTTCTATCACTGTTCGATCCCGTGCCTCCAACCCCGTCTCTGCCATTGGTAAGTATTCATTCCAATAATGATGTATCATAGTTGTTCAGGTTTTAGGAACAAAGTGTTGAGGCGTTTCATCTGAAAAGCTTACACTTCTGGCTTAGTGTGAATATCCAGGGTCTTTAAACATAAGCACCAAGATTTCCCCCTCCCCTGGACAAGAAGCATCCCCCTCCCCATCTAAACCCTTCTCAAAAGTTTCCTTTTGACCTTTGCTAGTCTCCCTCATCCAGGAGTTTCTTTCACTTTTTGAATACTGTTAGACCAGAAACTTTGTGGATTTCAGAATGGCCCTTTTTCTGTAAAGATTCATGATGCAAACCATTAATAGAGCTATTACACTTCCACACATTCTCCAGACCCTCTCCATAGAAACTTCTAAATCATTTTATGGGGTGTATGTTAGCTTCGGGACTGGCTAGGGGTAATAACAGGAGCACAAACTCCGATGAAGACGCAATCCTTTTGGCTCGAGAGATCTTGGCTAGGAGATCACTTCAAATCGGGGCTGATCTAGAAGTGATTTCCTGTCTTGAGTTGAAGGGATTCTCATCCCATTATGCCATCAAAGAGAGATGTCCAAAGCACCATTTCCTTCAATTTTCAATTTCATTTTAAAATGGACACAGTTGGATCAAGGCAAAATGCTAAAATCGCTTTACCCCTTTTAATTTCAAGGCTAAGTAGGGATTGGGTGGCATGGAGAATGTGGCAAGTTATGTGCGAAATTGGAAAAATTCTAAATTCTTTTTTTTCTTCTTCAAGGTTTTGGATACTGGTTGATCATTTGAATATCAATACAAATTCCAAATTGTGTGTACATTTTACTCTAAAAAGTCTTTTTTAAATGTATATATATTCTCAAAGCTGAATACTAAAGTTACACAGGGGAAATGAAGTTTATGAAAGATCATAACTGTATTTTTTATTAAGCTGAAAATTTGAACTATCTTAGATTGTAATAAAAATCTGTTAAGGAGCAATACAGACCCAACTTTTAGTACAAAGTTTTTAATAAAGAATGAGAATATCCCCTTCAAAAATTTGGGATGACTTTTATGTTCTGTTCACTTCATATCAAATTATCTTCATGACTGAGAGCAGCACTTCCTTTATCATCTTATCCCTTGCCAGTAGTCGTAATAAAACAACACCCAGATAGCACCTGACAGTTTAGACACTTGCTAGCGTCTTGAGAAAAGGGGCCCCCTCCTCGTTGAATATTTTCATATTCTGAGTACATAACCCCCTTTCCAACTTGTATGGTAATGTTTTTTTCTGATATTTTTTCTTTAATCCTGCTTCATGGAAAGAATATTGGTAAAATATGATTATTAGATTTAAAATTGTATTGTTCGGTTTGTTATCTTTTGTTTACATTGATGTGCTGTATATTCTCAGCTATAAATATGGTTCCCTTTTTTCATTTTTACTTTTGCTTTTTAAAGAGTTATATTGAGTATTAGTAGTGTATAAAGCTTGCATGCAGTATAGTCTAGAATTTGTTGATGTTGTCTTGTTGAGTTTTGATTCAGGCATTACCAGTACATTTTCCTTAATGTTATATAAAAGTAATGGCATATATCAATGGCAGCTCGATGTGCCATCTTAAATTCAATTTGAAGATGTTTGATACAAGGAAATTTTCCAATGATTTGATAACTCGAAAGATTAGGGGAAAAACATTCCCTGGGAAACATTAGCTTATTATATGTCTAATCATCTGATGACATTGTGTCATGATGTGGTTGCACACACCTGGACCCTGTTTCACAAAACCCATTATTACTATCAAGTTCCATAATTGATATAAGCCAACAAAATCATAACATTTGATTGGTTGCAAATTTGCGGTAGAATCATGTCTGACGTTTTCTTCAATTTTTCTTAATGAAGCAAGCCCCTGGTCTTAGTGACATTGTATCAATGTAGCTGTGCAAAATAGTTGAGGTTGCATGAGTAATGCATCGTTAATTAATGAAACATGTCTAGCAGACGGTTCTATTCTTTCATCCCGATGTATAATCCAAGGAAATCATATTCTATGACAACATACCGGGAGTGTGTCATTGGATTTATCAACACCTGTTGTTTTCACCCCTAGTTGACTTTTCCTCAATTTTAAAGGTATTTTGTTTTGTTTTTGAACAAAACCAATTCAGTGCTATGATGCAAACTCCACTTTAAAACATTATGGCAAGATATAACAAAGAAAAACCAAAACTGCCTGTAATATACTTTTAAAAGTGAATATTTCATATGATATAGGGGATATCTTTCACATGTGCGTATAGATACATTTTACGCGGTGCTCTCTCGGTTATTGTACTGTTCAGAGTAGCACTGGATTGATTCTGCATTATAATTTAAGAGGCTCATTTTAAATAGTTTGCTTTGATTTTGTAGACAATTACTTATATGACCATTATATGTCTTTAAGTGTTGTATGCATCATCTGCTAAGAGCCCTAAGAATCTTGTCTGTTTTGTATCCTCTCGTTGGCTTGTCAAAAAGTTTTATTGAAAAGGTTGGAACATGATCTGATTAGAACAAATGTTCCACAGCTGATGTTCCGTCATTTAATTTCCATGTGTTTTCAGATAAAGATGCATGCCTCTATGTTTTCTTATGTCATCTTTCTTTCCTGAGGATGACAAAAGATAAGCACGTCTTCCCTGTCAGAATAATGAATGTTAGTTTCTTGAAGCTATTCAACGCAAAACTTAATGTTTTCTTGCAATTTTAAAAGCTTCTTTCTTTTAAGCATTTTGTTTCAAGAAACTTTAGTAGATGTTAATTGTGTTTTTCATTCAGTTTTGTGAATGTTTTGTATTCGTTAATCTTATTTATTTTTCCTTTTTTTGTATTTCATATCAGTTTAGTATTCACACTTGTCTTTTTCATATATACTTATCTTTTATCTTCGTATCTTTAGAATATAATCAAACAATGAATCTATAAATTATTAAACTCATTGATTCCTTGGTTTGAATGACCAACTAATTAACCTTCCACAACCTCTTTTTACTTCCAGCTGGTGAAGACTACGCTGGAATCAGCCGCAACCTGGACTTCGCTCCCGGTGTCAACCAGCAGACCGTAAAGGTTTACATCATCGATGACCGTGGTCAGCCTCGTCTTGAAGGACCAGAGACCTTTGAGCTCGTCCTCAACATGCCCATGAACGGCGTCCTCGGACTACCATCCAAGACCGTCATCACCATCAATGACACCATCTCTGACTGTAAGTGGAGTATAAGGGAGCTGGGAGAGGATTGGGGGTTGGAGGAAGGGGGGTTGGAAGAAGGGGCAAAGGGTGCAAGTGATTAGATTGGTACCTAGGGAAACTTGAAGGATGATGGCAAGTGAGAACAAAAATCTTCCATCAAAACAACATCTTTGAGGATGATTGCAGGATGGGGTAACTGAGATGGGGTTTAGGATACGCAGAATGGTGCAGGGATGGTGGGATGGGAAGGAGTAAATTGGTGCAAATCATGGCAGAAATGAAAGAAGAAGGTGGCAGGGGATTTTCCAAAACCATATCCTGACAGTTGCTCATTTCAAGTACATGTAGTTGTCCCACTTCTTGAGCAACAATCACTTGTAGAGCCAAGATAATCCAGCACACTGCTGGATCAAAACAGTCCAATTCTTAATAGGTTTGATTGCAAACATTTGAATACCTGCCAGAAATTGTCAAACTGGTACAAATTAGTTAAACACTGGCATCTGCCCTATCCTCCCCTTTCTACCTCCTAATATCCTCTCAATTGGATTATTTAATTCCACACATCAGGAAAGGCAGGTGTTATAAATGGCCAAACACCAAGAATGACAAATTTGTCTCGAATCTTTTGATGATTGCTTCAAGGATGTAGCAAGAACAGGCATTTAGTCTTCAGTAATGTATCGAATACCAGGCTTGATGTAGGAAGTGTATGTTGCACCAGATGTTGGTCTATTGAATTTGGATAGGAGGGGAGGGGAGGGAGGGAGGGGGGGTACAGAGTAGAAAGTAACTGCCGTTCAAGTGCATACATGTGATGATTCATGATTTTTATGTTACCACTTGTTGACGTGAACATGTAGATGATATCTTCAAAGAATTCCGAAGGCATCCTAGCTATGTGAAAACCAATATGGAAAAGAGAATCTGATAGCTCATCTTTATCTCAATTCCTTACTCTAATAATACTTGAAGCCCACACGCTATCTCGTGTGGTGTAATCACTACCTCCAAAACGACCCTCAGAGACAGAGAGTTCATGCAAAAAATTAACCCCACCACCTAGAATTTTGAGTGGGAGGGGGACAAACAAGACATGAGAAAATTGGTGGAGTATTTGAAACAGCTCCAAATTTCCGTCAAAAACATGCTGCAGTCACTTCTACCTTCGCAGCCACTTCTACCTTCGCAGCCAAATAGTACTTTTATTGGAAACAAATGTTTGACACCAATCATATCGTCTTGAGGTTTGGACTAAGATTTCGACAGAAGATGGATCATGATCTTGACATAAACTGTCTTTCGTGACATAAGTGTATACCTCACAATGTATCAAGGGGAATATGTGTAGACTGTATAGTAGCAGTGCAGTTAAAATGTCACATACTTGTTTTGAAATGCCGGATTTCCTTCAAACTGCAGGTGTAACTAATTCAGTTAGTTTCTGTTTTGAAGTGGAACTGGGGTATAAGAAGGGGTACATATAAGGCAAGAAGGGGGTGAACGAAAGGGACTTAAGATGAGATGGAGGGTTTTTAGGGTTAAGATTAATAATTTTGAAATAAATTTCTAGTACTGAATCCTGCCCTGGAGTTCAGTGTATTTATCCTCACAGCATAAAATTCATACATTTAAGACTATTTTTAATTAAACCCACGCTTTATCTTTCTATCTGATTTCAGTGCCCAAGGTTGAATTCAGACACCCCACTTACGAAGTCAACGAGAATGACATCAGAGTCACCGCAGAGATTGTCCGCACTGGAGATCTGTCCATCGAGAGCTCCGTCCGTTGCTACACCCGCCAAGGATCCGCTCAGGTCATGATGGACTATGATGAGAGACCCAACACAGAGGCTTCCCACATCACCTTCTTGCCTGGTGAGTAGGAGGGTTCAGGGTTCAAAGCCTTTGAGAAGTTGCTCATGTAGACATAAGGTCAAACTGGCTGGGCTTGAATATTAAATCAAAGTAAAACAGTCCTTACAAAAGTTATTACATTTCTTCAATAGAGGCACTGCACTAGTCTGGAGATCATTAGATTACAGTTTTTTTTTAAAATCCCAATTTCTCTTCATATGAAGATTTCTAAAGGAAGTGCAAAGATTGATCTAAACATTACAAACATTAAGTACCTTTGAAAATGCAAAAGCTTAAGATGAGGAGGAGATTGTTAGTTTGGTGACCATAGTTTGCTTCTTAATTGTATCATTTTGAAATGAAAACAAGCTTTAATAGCAAGCCCTTACCCTCAACATTTTAAATCTTAACTTTATCTTCCAGTAAAGACTGTGTGAACATGCATCTAGTATAGTGTGTACATGACAGGGAAAGCTATTGCATAGCCATCATTTATATTGTCCTACAGTACTACACACTACTGCGCTCATCACACATATACCAAGTATATTTTCTTGTCATTAACTCCTTCATTCTCTCTCACTTTCAGGCGAAAGGACCAAGACCTGCTCCGTCCTCCTGATGGGAGACAACATCTACGAGCCTGATGAATCTTTCCGTCTTGTCCTTGGATCACCACGTACCGCTTCAGGCGTTCCTGCCGTCATTGGCGAACAGAACGTAACCGTCATCACCGTACACGATGTTGGAGATGGTAAGTAAACTCAGAAAGATTCACTTCACTGCTGGACTGAAATATTGTTTGAAGAACTTAGTCGATCTTGTATTGTAACGCCTATGTTGAAAGATCTTTTTGTCAACTCACTGTGTGGATGAAGGAGCTATATCAGCCAGCCTTAAAGAACTTAAAAGCATTTTGGTATCCTGAGTGACAGAAAAATACACAGTACCATGTTTAATATTAGAATTTCCACTTTTGAGGTTTGGGTAATGTCAAATTGACAGTAATTAGCACAATTCACATTAGTTGAAATCTAAAAAAAAAGGGGAAGAGGATGATAAGAGCGAGATTTTAATACTGTCCTTTAGATGAGTCTTTGTTTGACGAGCAAATGGAAGTTGGAAGGTACATGAGTTTTGGAACATGTGCTCCAAATAGCACAAATATGTCATTCTCATTCTCTTTCTCATTCAAACCCACACAGCTCCAGTCATCAAGTTCCCCGAGACCAAGTTCAGCGTTGATGAGCCCACCGACCTCGACTCTGTCGCCACGGTAACCATCACTGTCATCCGCATGGGAGACTCCTCCCAGACCTCTATTGTCCGTGTCTTCACCAAGGATGGCTCAGCCAGGAGTGGTCTGGACTACAACCCCCTCTCGCAAGGTAAGAACGCCAACATTGGTGTAAGACTTACTTCATTTATCCATAAATTTTCTCTGACTCCCCCCCCCCCCCCTCCCTCTCTCTCTCTCTCTCTCTTCCTGTCTCTTTCTCCCTTTCTGTCACTTTCTGTCCCTTTTTCTTTTTCTGTCTCTCTCTTTCTCCCTTTCTTTTTTGTTGTTCCTTTGAGTTTCTTTCTATCTCTCCACCTCTTTAACTCGTGCTATATTATCTTTCTCTCTGCCTTCTTTTCTTTCTATCGCTTTTTCTTTCTGTTCGCATGTCTGGCATTTCTTCATCAACTCTTCATCAATCATTCCTTCCTTGAAATAATTCCCTTTTCAAAAGCATTTTGTTGGACATGTGCATGTAAAGGAAAGAGGCCACTCTCTGTTAGCAAAGAGCAAGAACCAGTCCTCAAGAACCCTGTCACTCCTTGAGGGCAAACCTTTGGAAGTTCATGTCAGAGTCATTGGTAATCTCTGGAGCTAATCATGTCATTGCGCAAGCCCCCCTCCCCCCCCCCCCCCCCCTCCCCTGACAGCACCATATCAATCATCTAGCTACACTTTGTTATCACCAGCCAACCATTACTCATAATTCAAAGCAATTCCAATGCTTTTTCATGGTTAATCTGCCTGGTATCTTTCTAAGAAGGGAGTTATAGTTGGGTCAGTTAAGGTCTTAGTTGTAAATTTATCACTGCGTACATCTCCAACATTTCTCTTGCCCCCAAACTATCCTTTTCCCATCCTCCACATGGTAATCGGTAAACCAAATTGGTCAAGCTGTTCTTTGCCATGTAGCTTTTATATCCTACTGCACATAGCCAATTTGAGCAGTTTATATAAAAAGATAAAATAATTTGTAAATGGACATTACCACTGACCCTCGCTGGGTCTCTCATTTTCATTAGACCCCCATTCCCACTTCCAATGTAATATGTTGAATGCCAGAAGGGCACTAAATCTGCAAAATGATGTGAGCCAACACTCTTTTTGGCTCTCAGCAATCTGTTTGGTATTTCCACATGTTTCAATTGCCTTAACCTCTCCTGCCATTATTTGAATGATCAAGCAATTTTTTTTTTCTCTCACTCTTCCTGACTATTGAGAAACAAGAAGTCACGTTTGAGGCCATTTGTCTTATATCTGCCTGAGTTGGCATCCATGTGCAGTCAATACCAAGAAAAAGAGACAGGCAAATTTAACCGTTTCCTGTCTGAAAGCGTCGCAGGAAAATGTTTGGAAGCCTTTGTCACGCAAGTTCTTGTAGAGTATTGTAGGGGATTGCGATTTACATTGTCTGAATGACGGTTGAGAGGCAGAAAGATGGAGTGGTGTTGACCAGAAAGAGAAGAAATGTAGGAAGGTAAACAACAGGAAGAAAGGGCAATTTGTGTGGGTTTACAACACAGAAATGAAATATATATAGACAGAGACACACAGACAGAGGGAGCAATGAAAAAGATAGTAATAGATAGGGGAGAATTCATAAATAAATGAATAATAGAGGGAGATAAAGTCAACAGAGACAAAAAGTCTAGCGCACAAGTATAATTAAAATGATTACATTAATATATTAATCATTCTGATTCAACTATCGAGCCTGAGTAAAGCTTTGGAGATTTGGTATGTATGTCTGAAAGAGGGGGTAACCAGGGGAGGCTAAAACTGAACTTTATTAGGTGCAGGCTGCATATTAGGGTGTGGCATTCAGGGGGATTGGCTCTTCGAATGAGTAACCAAGCTGGGAAGGTGTGGCCATGTTAGCAGCCTCTAGTATCATCAGATGTGTTAAAAATGTGTTACGGCTGTACAATTCACCCCTTTCTTTCTCCAATCCCATATATGACAAACCTGATTATTTTCTTTTTTAAATGAGGAGTTTATGATTTGAAATCAAGATACAAAGGGAATGCATATTCTGAGTAATATCAATAATTTAAAGAGAAAAAATGAGACTAGACCAACTACATATCGAATAATGAAATCAAATGTGTTTTCTTTTAAAATTCTGTAGCATTCATTTCCGCATGACCCTTAACCCTAATAGGAATATACATGCAGGATCATTTTCAAAGAGAAATTCAAAGTAGTGATTGTGACCTGAATTGTGTGTTGGAGCTGTCAAAGCATTCAAACGCTAATTGCATTCAATCTTTCAGTAGTCCCACCCCCTGATTCTTGTGTGGTGTCCGTCCATGATATCTCTGAATACAAATCTCTCATCATTTGAATTGTGAAAACTTAACAGAAATAAGAAAAAATCATAACTCTCCAGTTTGCTCCCCAACAACATTTAATGCTCTCCTCCTGTTCATGAATCTCCCAAGCCAGTAATATTACCTGCCCTGTACACTCAACACCACTGTTCTGACTTTGACCTGTCAATCAAGAGGTTGTAAGGTCACGACCCCGACAGTAGAGGTTCTGAATCCCGAGGATGAAGAGGCTTGAGAGTATCTTGCATATATCTGTCATAATGCGATAATCATTTAGATTCTTCAGAGGGGGACTTGAATTTGGAAATTGAGCAGAAGAATGTAATAATGGGTCTTTTCGAGTGCATAGGTCAAGGGTGAAATTGAGGAGTTTAGTGGGATAGCTGGGTAGAGGTCTCTGAATGATTCTAGTTCTCAAACCTCAGTCACACCATTAAGAACATTGAGATTTTTTTTTTTTTTTTTTTTTTTTTTTTTTTTTTTTTTTTTACTAAAGACTTAAAATGAAGTCTGTCTTTTATGGGTTAGCAGACTTGGCCCGATTGTGCTTGGATTCTTTTATGCAAAAGGAAAGAAGAGGAAAAAAATGAAAAGCACCTTTATAATTATGACAAACAAATGTCTGCTACATTTCAAATTATAAAAATAATGTAAGCTAAATAGCAGAGGTGTTCACAGAGTACATCTATCAATAATTGACATCTCTCATGTCATAGCACTTCCTTTTTTTCTTTCACATCTTCTGTTCAAAATATTTTGCTTCCAAAAAACTCCAGATCTATTTCTGCGATTATTACTCCGAAAATCAGATTAGATTTCCACTAATAGAATCAATTTTGATAATTCTTATGCTTTCATATTTTCCCTGCTCACTTTTGTTGACTGAAAGTTTCCTGCCCATGAAATTGAGCATGGAAAAGGGTTAAGTAAGGCCGGGATAACGCGATCCATCGTCATGGGGGAGGGGAACGGAAAAGCAGACGTTAGTTGACGATAAAATCATTGCCAGAGCTGGCTTGGGTTTGACTGGTGCGTGCACGGTTCGTTCGCTCTCTCCTCACAAATTCAATTGATCAAATCGCAGTGGGCAATTTCTAAAGCAGCCTGGTTATGAGTTTTTATAACTTCAATCAACAGTTGCATAGTGGGACCTCGTCATGCTAATTTGGTATTGAGTACATGGGAGTAAGGAAAAGCAATTTCAGAGTGGAGTTTTGTGGCGAGTTGCTAGTATTTTAGGCATAGGCAATGAAGCTTCATGAGCATTCCTAACCATCATTGACTATTTTTTAACCAAATCAGTTTCTTTAATTAACCACAACCACCACTGAAAAAAAATATGGAAGGATGGAGTCATGATTCATGTAGCTTGTCTGCAAGCTGTGGGTGTAGAGTCAAATGACTATATAGCTATTATGACTAAAGTTTTGAAAATTTGAGGGAAAATTTATGTCTCCTTTTGAATAACTTTTAGGCTTATTTAGGGGGCTTATTTTGTGAAAAGAGATCATGTGTTTGGATGAAAATGTAGGGAGAAATCAGAGTGATCTTGACCAAGAGCTTAATAATACAAACTTTGCCTCTGGGTGGAATTTTCTGGAAGAGCAGACAAAGTAGAAAAAAGGATGGTAAAATGTGGTTGCTTTGGGGCGAGGTGTCAGATTATACTTCAGAACATAACTTCCTCACTCTTTCTTCTGAAACTGAAACTGATGAGATATTTGAACTAGTTATCTGTTTGATGAGATAATGAATCCAATAAATTTCACCCTTCTGCTTTCTGCTCCAGAGAGAGACAGACAGAGAGAGAGACACACAGAAAATGAAAGGGGGGGGGGGTAAAAATAATTTAAAATAGTGAATAGGACTGTTAAAGATAAAAGATTGATAAAATGGGTGCATGCATTGATAGGTAGAAAGGAGTATAGAGAGAAAGAAAGAGATGCTTATCAGAAAGAAGGTTGAAATAGATTAGAGGAAGTTTTCCTGATAGTTACACCCCTCCCTGATACTAGCCAACAACTGAACTTCCAACAGGCTCCCCCCTCCCCTCCCCCCCCCCACACACGTTTTCTTTACCACATAATAAGATTATCAGCTTTCATTTCATGTCACCGTGTCCGCTCATTATCATATTTCATTTCCCAACACCATTCATATATTTCAAAACTAACCATCATGCAGTATACATGAGTAATACCAGGACAGCCAATCAGTGAAAGCGAGTGCTTTAACATGTCAATTCCAATAGCAGCTTGTGAGTAGAGGACACTAAACAGAAGAGGGATGCATTGATACAGTCATGTGACCGCAAGAACCTCTCAAGGTCATTCGTGAATCACAGAAGGGCTGTATGTCACTACCAATACATGTAGTGGCATGAGAAATGATATGTTTAGTGTCTTCTACTCACGAGCTTCATACACTGGTTTCTGATGTTTGTATACAAACCTACAAACCGTTGTATTTTGTAAACAAATGTGTTTTGTTGAGAAAATGATGTATTTGTAAACATAATTATGTATAATTATGTTTGGAATATATGATTCATTTGATTCAAGATTTGGTTGGTTATTTTCAAATCGTATGCATTTCACTTCACACCAAAAACAAATATAAATCTCACAGGAGACATCCCTCTTCGATAACAACAGCTTCACAAACAGAGAACCAATCATCGAGACAAGGGGGAGAAAAGATACCGAAAGGAAAATGTCTGAATTGTAAACGATGAAAAATACCCATTTCTCCTCCCTCTTTGTGTCGTCTGGTGCTGTGGGGCAAATGAAACAAGTGGAAACCCAGGTTTATGCAAACACGTACTTAAGAGCTTTCATCGTAGCGTCAGATGATGGGTAGAGAGTCTGAGGTTGACCCATGGTTAATCCAGGCTTACATCCCTTCCTGGTTTCTCGAGTCCTACATTTTCTTGGGGAAGGGATTGACTCTTGCCTTCCCCCTAGCCTTAGAAAATGGATCAAGCGACTTCCCTTATTCACAGGGTGAAGGGAAGGGAAGGAGGGCAGATTGGGTGGGGGGGGGGGGGGGGGGGGGGGAGAGATTACAATTTGACTTGTAGCGAAGCTGCCCTCCTTCTAGATGACCAAATTTAAAGGCCTTCGATTCCAATAGAAACATATAGCTAAGTATTATAGACTCCCCAGTATATTTCCAAGTTCTTTTACCATAAAAATTATGAATAGATTTGAAGACACTGGTTTATTATTATCTGTTTAAAAAATAACTCACAAAATATTTCCATTTCTATCATTCCCCCAGTGCTTGAGTTTGGCTTCAATGTGACCGAGCGTGTTGTCGAGATTGAGATCCTTCCAGATGAAGACAGGAACGAGATGAGAGAGGCTTTCACCCTTCACATCACCCCTGACCAGATGATGATTGCTGACGTACAGGTTAGTATTCCTCATAAGGTTCTAGGTTCAAGACCCAGGCTAGCTGCGGCAAATAATTCCCAGGGAATACATTGGTATATTTCTGAGGGGAGGCTTGTTTCCTCTTGACACGTTCTATCATCAGGCTCATCATTTGTTCTTTTTCTTTTAAAAATTAGATAATAGACCAATGTTGAGTTATTATTTCCATAAGGAAATTAGACAGATATGTTCTGTCAGATGTATTCTGTCTAAATTTCTCAGGGATACACTAAAATAAGACATTTAAAATCTTGTTTCATATCTTCATGCAAGAATTTAGGTCAAGTCATGTAAGAATAGCAGAACTCATCTGTACAGAAAGGTAGTCTCTATTGCCCTTAACCTTTACTCTGATAGTCTGATCTGTTTGAATCTCACTCCCGAAAGAAATGATTTTGAAAGGAAAACCCCCAAAAGTAGAACAGTAGCATCTAGAATGACATAAAAATGATCTATTCTCTCAACAGACCTACATGATTGACTTTTAACCCTTTTACCTATGAAAGTGTAGCATTACTCCCTGATTTCATACATCATTCATAAATGATCTTAGTTATCTGGGTTGATACCCAAAAAGGAAATGATTGGGACGTCTTTTGGTAACATAATCGGCATGTTAACATGAAGGGGAAACTTAATCCTTCCCCAACGATCCCTCAATGACCCCTAGAGAAGCGGATAGACAGTTCTAGTTACATCCTGCATCCATCGCAAACAGACAATGAAAAGAATGTTAGCGACCTATGGTTTTTCCAGTTGTTAGGGGGGGGGGGGGGTCATGGGTGATGAATCTTGGGGCCCTGCTAGGGCAGGGGGCGCCACATTGAATGGTTGTCAAAGAGAGGATTATTAGTTTTAAAAGACATAATAACATGTAGCTGATAGATTAATAGATCAATACCCAAGATACTTATCTGCATCATTGAGATGCTTATAAGTTTGTTGACTTGAGTTACATACATCAAGGTAATCCCCTTTCACCACCTTTCTTCCTTGTTCTCTGATCTCACTCATGCAACCCTTAGTCGCACAAAGTCCCTGAAAAATACAGAGGCATGAAAAAAGTGGATGAGAAGGGAGACATCTATTTAATCAGGCGTTAAATTCTTTTGGTAGCTGATCAAGTGACTCACTTCTTAGATTGAAATTTCATTTCTGGAAGAAACATCCATGCAGATGATCGCTATTCACTTTCTGTTGCTAATCGCCTAGTCTACTGACTACTAGAGGGTTTTAATGCAACATGTTTTGAAGGAGCCGGGGGACACTTATCACAAATTTAAATCCTCTTAATGAATCAAGTGACATTGCTTGATACCCCAAAGCTTGTTATCCTCTTTAGTAAGGATCCCAGGAAGATTAATGGTAGAATCCGTAATCAGGTTGAGCTTATGAACAGAATAATAGTACAAGGTCATATAGGACAAACGATGAAAGTGATGAGAGTTTAATACCACATGTCTAAGTAAGGCATTACAAGTCATTTAAAGCCCCACTGTCCTACCTGTAGCTACTTGCTCCCTCTATCTAAAAAACTTCCCCAATCGGTGCCTGTTGGTCCCCCATGATCCTCTTTTTCTTATGTTAGTTGAGAGCTGAGTTAATGAGATAGCCACCTGTCAGTGACCTTGCTGTGTGGTCTAATCCCTCTTGGCCCAGTAGTATTGACGGTCTTTAATGATTATTACTGGTAGAAGATGAAATCTAATGTCTTATTTCTCTTTCTTCCTCCCAGATGAACCATGCCATCATCTACATCGAACAAGAAGGCCAGGCCTCTGGAGTGACCTTCCCATCCCAGCCGGTGGTCGTGTCCCTGCTCGACTACGATGACATCTCCAACGCCAGGGATAACCCACCAAGAGGTTACCCACTCGTCTGTGTCTCTGTAAGTAGTCTGAAGTCATTCTTTGAATTCATGTCCATTCTATACTCTATCAAAATTTTGTAAGGTGTTAATTATGAGGGTGTAATGATAAGAGTATTATAGAAAAAGGAGTCCTTACAATAAAATGCTAAGATTTGGGGGTTATTTTTGTTTCCAGAGGATATAATTCCACACATAAACATTACTAGGACATCAGTATCAATTTAAAGAGAACTATCACCAAGCTACCTACCGTAATATGAATGTGGGGCCTCATTGATCAGGCAGTTGTTTGATTGTTTGTTCTAACCTGTGCTATCCCTCTCCATTCCCTACACAGCCTTGCAACCCCAAGTACCCTGACTTTGCTACCACCGGTCCTATCTGTGATTCCGAGGGTCTGAACGACACTGTAACCCAGTTCAGATGGATGGTCTCCGCACCCACCTCCGAGACTGGTGTGACCTCCCCTCTCAGGCAGGCTGATAGTGACACCTTCTTCAGCACCACTAAGAGCGTAAGTAAATCATGCATTTTTTTGTCGTCTTGTTCCACTTCATTGTGCTATTCCACCTCATGGAATCTTCTTAGTTTCAATGGTCATGTTTTATCCATTATCAATGAAGGAGAATGGTGTTGTGAGAGTATATAATCATTTTTCTATTTTGCAATTCATACAAGAAGTGTAAAACTTACAGACAGACTCTCTTAATGTTTGCCAAAAATATTTTGGATTTCCCTCGGTACTGTTCCTTGCGTTAAAATAAAATCAAATTGGTGTTTAAATGATTGAAGTGGTACCATAGAAGTGTTTGACTCGATCACCCTGAAGCAAAGTAATTGACCTCTTGACCTCTCGCACTCCCTCCCACAGATCACCCTGGACAGTATTTACTTCGGACCTGGTTCCCGCGTCCAGTGCGTAGCCCGTGCCATCGGATCAGAGGGTGATGCCGGCCGTGAACATCCCAGTCCTGCCATCATCATCAGCTCCACAGACGGCATGTGCATGCCACGAGTGGCCAACGCCATCGGAGCAGAGCCCTTCACCGCCAGGATGCGTTACACCGGACCTGCTGACCCAGACTACCCCAACAAAGTCCGTCTCACCGTCACCATGCCTCATGTCGGTCAGTATTTTTAGCTTTTTTCTCTTTCTAATGTCCACTTTGATATAACAAATGACCCTGTCCATACCCTAGGTACAGTCAAATTCTGTCATATCTTTATTAAGTTTGTAGGACTGAAAGTGACAGGTTAGGTGTGCAGACCTCCAAATTAGTTTACAATTCTAATGTATGCTTTGTAGAGCATTGAACTTGCTCCAAGAAGATGTGCCATACTAAAAGATGACTTGAGATGGAGTAATCACAGGATATTCAGTACCACACCTAACTTAACTTTTTATCTTCAATGCTCATCTTCGTTTTCTAGATGGTATGCTTCCCATCATCTCCACCCGTCAACTCTCCAACTTCGAGCTTGCCCTCAGCAAGGACGGCTACCGTGTCGGAGTCCACCGATGCTCCAACCTTCTCGACTACGATGAAGTCCCAACCGACTTTGGTTTCATCACCGAAGAGACCAAGAACCCGAACGTCGTCGGAGACACCTACGCTTACCAATACTCTCCTGAGCTCCGTGGAGAGGAGACCCTTCGATTCTACCGTAACTTGAACCTTGAGGCTTGTCTGTGGGAGTTCAACGCTTACTATGAAATGTCTGAGCTTCTGGACGAGTGCGGTGGTTTGGTCGGCACCGATGGACAGGTAAGATGGCTGACCTTTTGGCGTGTGACCCTTGACCCTAGACGTAAAGTAGACTGGATAGATGTTGTTTGGGGCTAAAGATCTGATGTGGTTGATGAAATGGAGGATGAGGATATCACAAGTTCATAAAGTGAACATAGAATCAATTCAATTGTGGGAACGATACTGATGCAGAATATTGATCTTTAGCTTGTTTTCTATTCTCCTTGGTGCTTAGTAATAGCTTACAAAGAAGTAAAGGTTGTATCATCGACAAATTTGTCAGTTTTTGATGCATGTTTCAGATTTATTGATGGTGAGACTATCATGTTTTACATTGTATATATCAAAACGTACCTATTTCAACCGTAAACATTAATGACCTGTGAACTCTGCTCTAAATATAAATGACTAAATTGCTCTTCTAATGCACCCCTACATCCACAGGTCCTCGATCTGGTCCAATCCTACGTCAGCATGAGGATCCCTCTCTTTGTCTCCTTCGTCTTCCACTCACCCGTTGCTACTGGAGGCTGGCAGCACTTTGACCAGCAGTCCACTCTGCAGCTGACCTTCGTCTACGACACATCTATCCTTTGGCAGAACGGAATCGGATCTCAGGTCACAACTGGAACCCAGTCACTCCAAGGTAAGGCAGGAAGCTATAGTAGTGGTTTTGTGATTCAACAGTTGCTCCATCAACATTTGCTTCTGGCTCTATTTTTGCCTAATGAAAAAGTGTTTGAGTAGCATTGCTGTCAGATTTTGGCTTAGGGGTAGGGTAAGATAATATATAGTGTGAGCTCTAGGGTTGAAGCCAGGGATTAGATTGGTGTTGGAATTTGATTATGGACGAATTGTTGCGGCATCATTTCTCATTCAGCTGATAGGGAAGGGAATCACTTACAATTGCACATATATCTTTGATTATCACTGAAGAACTTAATATTGGTGTTTCAAGTTACTTTGAGCGACTCACAATTGTGACCTCCTATCCCAACGATATTATCCATTTGTAGAATTATTCATGTTCAAAATCCCACCGCTGCCACCAGTTTGTAAATTTAAAGTTAAGCCTCTATTGGTTGACTCACAACAGCAAATGCCATGGGCGCTGAACTTTCACCCCTACAACAACTTTCCTTGACCATTCACTGTACATTTGTTTTGTGTTTCCAATGTCACAATGTCACATGGTAATCATAATTGTATTGTTTTCTTCTGATTGTAGGTAACCTGTACCCAACCAGCATGAGGATCGATGAGGATGGCCGTCTCGTCGTCAACTTCAGGACCGAGGCACTCTTCAATGGTCTCTTCGTCCAGGCACATCAATGTAAGTCAACTCCTTCCTGCAGACATTAGGGACTTTCAGATTTGCGTGGACTAATACGTGTGACGTCCATTCAAGGCAGTGCATTAAAAGGACGTCGGTCGTAGCAATCCCCATTGTCTTTGTGCGAATCTATAAGTCCCTATTTGTTGTCATCATCAATAGTATATTCCCTGATATGTTATTTTTTTTAATACAGCATTTTTACAGAAATATTTTCCATTATTATAAAGACAGCTGAAATTACATAACACTGCTCAGATGTTTCAATTTGTAGCTTGGTCCAATGAAGCTTCTGTTGATTGATTTAAGAATTAAAAACATTTGGTATCTTTGTAATCCTTACATTAAGTATTTTAAAAGATGGCTAATTCTAATTCCATGTTATTTTCCCTTCACAGCTACCGATGTTGTTTCCACTGTGAACTCCATCGACCATGCAGGACTCACCTACTCCCTGTCTCTCCTCAGGACTGAACCAACCTACGCTCAACCTGAACAGCTCTGGCAGTTCATCTCTGATCTATCCGTAAGTTGTCCAAACTATTCTTTTGTCTGTTCATCAGATCAGGGCTTGATATTTGTCGGTCTTTTTTTACATGAATAGAATTTCATATGTCGACGACCAACGTAAGAAACAAATTCCTTGAAAAATCAGTGTTCCTGATTTGAGATTTGCTTGGATAATATAAGCCATTCTTGAAGCTATTTTGTGGTCATTAATTGGTGTCTAATGAATCAGACTCACAAAATATGAAATTCAGCTATTAATGTAACATGTCTGAGCGATAGAACCCGTCTGAAATTATACATCTCCTATTTGTAGAGAATGCATAAATCGCCTGTGGGTGCATTGGAACCTTCATAAGGGCTTTCAAATCCTAGTGTATACACCCAAGTGTATGATAATAACTGTACCCTATGATTCTCAATTGTACCTTTTGATTTTCAAAGATCTCTATCATTTGTTCTCTCCACCATACAGGTATCCGACTACAGTGGAACCTACACCATCCAGCTGATTCCTTGCACCACCCTACCCAACACCGTCTACAGCCAGCCACCTACCTGCAACCCGGAGGACACCATCACCTTTGAGCTTCCCATCAGATTCCAACAGGTCAGTCAATCAATCTGCATTGGATCTTCTCTTCTTAACTCATTGGCCATGGGGGGAACCAAATGGTCCTGGGTTAAGAACATATGGGGAATGAGAGGATGCAGTGGTCAGTGGGTTTAAGTTAAACATCTCTTCGAGATTTATCAAATGAAACTTCTAGAAAATCTACTTGAAGCAGTATTAGTGTCTATGAGAAGGTGTGTATTGCATTGAGGTATTCCAAAGGCAGAATACAGTTGTACAATGCAACTGAGATCAGTTTTCGATCGCCTTTTAGATCATGGTTGCCTTATAATCACCAAGGGAATAATCAACAAGTGCACTTCCTTGAAACCAGGCGTCTCTCTATGGCAAGAAGCATGTCAGATACATAAACACGGAGATACTTGGTCTTCAATGAATGTCAAAATAATTGACTGTAGCTTTTAGAAATTGTCTCTTAGCACTTCTGTGTGAATGATTCTATCATAAATGATGAATGGCTGGTTTTACAGCAGATTTACAATGTATTAACTTTCCCTTGCTCTCAAATTTCAGGTCAGCGACCCAGTTCCCGAGGAGTACAGCCTCAACACCGAGTTCGTCCTTGTGGGCAAGGAATCCATCTACTTGTCTGATGGCTCCATGGGCTTCGGAGAGGGCAGTGATGTCGCCTACAACCCAGGTGATACCATCTTTGGACGTATCCATGTCGACCCCGTCCAGAGCCTTGGTGCCGGCTTCAACCTTGACATCCAGAAGGTATTCCTCTGCACCGGACGCGATGGTTACATCCCCAAGTACGACCCTGCCGCAAACGAGTACGGATGCGTGGCTGACACACCTAACCTTCTCTATGCCTTCAAGATCTTGGATCGTGGAGCACCAGATACCATCATGCAGGAGTTTAACGGAATCGCCTTCAACGCTACCCTTGCTATCGACAATACCAATGATCTGGAGCTTGTACAGCAACCAGGCGCTGATGGCTTTAGACTGGCTAGTGATGCTCTCTTTGGGGTAGGTCTCTTGACATTCTGTGCTTATTTGATCACATTGATCGTTGGTTCTTGGCCCCGTCTTATGAAAAATTGCATCTGATCCGATGTGATCGTAATTCCCCACTCAATTGCCAACTTATAATTGCAGAGTTGCAATTGATTTTAACAATGTGTTTGCTCTCGATTAATTACAACTATTTATAAGCAGATTTTGAATATTGTCCCTAATGTTGATATACATGTACATTCGCCACCAAATACTTCTTTTTGACAAGTTTAAGACCAGGTTTAAATGATTATAGAACAAAAGTCTGATTATAATAATAGTTTATATATTATTATAATATAATATTTCTTCTTGATTTGTCTTTAGGTTGACTATGGCCGCACCTGGTATCTGCACTCCATCTATTCCATGCGCTCATCTGAGACATCTGGCATCGGCAAACGAGACACCACCGAGCACCACGCCATCGCCAAGCGACAGGCAGACTCTCTGGTGGACCCTGCACAGGGTCAGGGAACCAACATGAAGCGCATTTCTCTACAGACATCGTCAAATGACTTCAATAACGAAATCGGCGGCACTTACGAGCTGGCCCCTGCTGGCACCAACGTGGTTATGATTGCTGTCATTGTAGGTGTTATTCTTATTATACTTCTGGTCGCACTTGTTATAGGAGTGGTTGTAAGGCGGCGTCAAGCCAAGCAACAGCCCGTTGTGGTGGTTAATGGCAGCGCAAAGGTTGTCTCAAATGTCCATTTTGATGACAACACAGAAGTCTAATGGATTTGCGCCACTTGGATGTAATTATTAAAAAAAGAAAAAAAAAAGAAAGTTATTAATGGCAAAAGAGGAGAAAAATTCATAGGGCTTGCATCATACATTATCACTTAATAAGAACGTTCAATTAATTTTTTGTTTTGTTACGAAAGACTTCAAAATGCTGCCGGACTTTTGATATAAGATTCCCAACTCTTTTCTCTTTCTCTATTCGCCCATATCTGTAGCGATTTGTTATTCTGATCCCTGCATTTTGGGGAGTGAGAATCTGCCATATGAATTCATTGTGTTTCCTAGACATGGTGTGACAAGTGCCCTAGAAGTTTGTTTGTAATTTATATATTTGTGTATGCTTTGATCAAATTGTTTTTTCTCTAATATATATTTACTTGATGCTATCTTTACAAATGAATGTAGAAGAAAAAACTCTTGGCTTTAGCCAGAGTAAGAGGTTGACAAGAGTCTTTTATTTTTTTTCTCTTTTTTTTAAGCAAAAAAAGAATCGTGTGTATTTCATAAAGGTGCTCATTTTGTAAAAAGATATTATAGTCTGTAATTGCGAATGAATTTGTAAGAAATAAGTAATACTAGGTCATTAACTGGTAGGCTAGTCAATAATTAATATCTTATTGATATTAGTAGATGGAATTCTCCAGTTTTTATATATCACTCTTTCTCCACAGCGATTCCACCTCTATTTTTATCTTAGCATCATAGTCTGATCTAGTGCAATTTTTTAGATTAGAAGTTGCTTTGCTTTTTTCTCACCTTCCACCAATATACAATGAGTTTGATAGACAAACAAGGTATTTTGACAATTAGTTTTACAACTAACAGGCTATTTTAATCATGTGTAGATAATTAATGTGGTATCATACAAATTCATATTTGAAATTGTCTACTTTTTTAAATGCAGCACTTCATTTGTACATTTTTATCAGAGAAAATTGTTCAAATTTCATGACATTTTTTACATTAGAGGAGTTTAGTAGCATTTTTAGAAAGCAATTTGTATAGCCATGTAAATTCAATAGCAGTGTACTTAAGCGTATATTAGTATTTTGCTAATGCATAGATTTGTTTGCGCAAAGTTGGAATTTTTCTCTCCATTTGGAGCATAAAGTATGTCATTGAAACATACATCAAATAGATAAATTCATTGTATTTACATTGTAGGTAATCTGTATTAACATCAAAATTTTGTAGCATATTTGTTGTGTATGTAGGTTGATATATGCAAAGGCATTTTTTATATATTCTATGCAAGTCTAAATTAACTTAACATGATGATATTGATCTTTATTTTTTTCTGTTCTGAATTGGTGCTTCTCTAATTAATTTTTAAGTTCTTTTTCATTCTTTTTCTTATTCTCCTAAAGATCCATATTTATCCTGATATAGTAGTCATTGACTTGTAGATAATTCATATCTTATCTTTATATGCTGTTAACAAGCATTTGAAAGTGCCTTAACCCTATTTAACATAAACATACTGTTGGTAACAGGGTTCTGTTTTTTAAGAATTTGAGGGATCATGTATTTCTTTTTTATAGAATCCCCTTATGATGTTTATAGTCCAAGCATACCGTAACCTGACACCATCAGCATTTGTATATCATATTTTCCTGTCTTATATTATTAAAGAGATTTGGTAGTCTTTGTGGTTCAGATAGTGTGTTCAGACGGCTGCATCGCGCAGCAGTCAGTCACACTCATCTGAACCACCTTGCCACTAAGATTGATATGTGTTTTTAAACCACCTCCTTCAACACATAAGTGAGTATAAGGAATAATTGCCATTGTTTCTCTTTCACATGCAAAATGCTGCAGATGTACATTGTAATGATGTACTAAACTCATCCCCCGGTTTGCCTTTTTAAAAATTATTTTCTCTTTTACTATACCATTATTGTTTTGTTTTTTACGTTGTGTGTGTAACCATTGGCTGTTTTATGTATGTCTCTGTTTTAAATTGTGTTTCAGTTTCTCTTTTTGATATGTTTGAACGAGAGCTTTTGCCCTGCTCAAGAAAGTATGTCTAAATGTGTTTGATCTTTCATAAGTTTAGAAATGACCGACTGATTTTTGTCACAATTTCAGCCTGTATCGGGCTTCCGCTGTGAAAATAAATCATTTTGTCGACTTATGAGAGTGGAAATCTTTCGACATATTTTCTCCAACCCAACGTGCACTGCTCAATGTAGACAGAATTAACCAACTTAAAAAGTATAAACAAAAATAGGATCAGTATGATAGGATCATGAACATTATGGAATCAATTGATTTCATGAAATTCTCACCGATAACAATCCTACGTCTAATTTATTAGAAAAGACACCTGTCACAATGCCTTTACAACATCAAAATCTTCCAAGTAATTCTTCCAATCCATGACATTGCAAAATGAGAGAATGCAAACTATAATTTTGTGTTGTATTTCTGTTTATTGAACCATTTTTATTTTCTTTGTTATTAACAGCTTAAGATGTATGAATTTATTATTTAATTTTTGCACAAGTTGAAACCATGAGAGACTGAGGAAATATGTACAATTCATTTATTAATACAGTTACTGATTTTTATCAACTTGTGCTCTCTGTATGTCTCTTTTGAGGTGGAGGGTACACGGTGTATTATTTACCGTATAAATGTAAACAAAACGTATTCTTTCCAAATTTCAAACCATCGTAACCTATATGAAGGGCATGCGAGACAGACAACATAAATGATTGTTTTCTTGTCTCTGTGTTATGTAATAGACTCACCTATTCCGACAGTTTGAATAGATTCTAACATAATGCTTTGAATTTGAAGATGGTTCTGAAAAATTGTCAATAAATTGTATCGGCCTGGCGGGGAAAAAAAATTGTTCATAGTCCGTGTGAGTTTTGTTGTTGCGCGTCTCCATTTCCTTTTAAGGTAGTGTACCAGGGTATCCCTTGTGCAGCTAAAATCAAATTCTGTAAGACCTTGCAGGAATTTTAATTTTAAGGATCTCATATGGAGAGATGAAGAGAGAGAGAGAGATGTATGGCAGTAGATAGATATAGAGAAGGAGAGGTCAAGTAAAAATACATGAGCTGGACAGAGGGATAAAAGAGGTTTCAGAATGCATGCACTTTGAAGAAGAGAGGATACCAGTGGTAAGAAAACATGGTAGGGGTAAAATAAGAATGCAAAGGGAAGAGCTAGAGAAAATCAAAGAACGTCCAAAGACAAAAAAAGAGGGAGAACGATTACCAGAAGCGGGAGAGACAGAGAGAGAGATGCATTCAATATTTCCAGTATTAATAAAATTTGGGTAACATTGCATATAACTGGAAAATATAAACGTCTGGCATCTAGCATCATTTCATAGAAATGAGACGATTTGATAGAAAGTTTTGGAATGGGGGTCGTGAATTTGGTTCAAATGAACATATTGGAAGCATATGCGATCCTACAATATTCAGGGATTGTTGTTGCTGTTGAAAAATTAAGCTATAAAACAATGTTTCTCGACTAAAATCAACCAATTAGCTATCCCCGTTTGGAAATTTTATATCACAACTACATATTCTGAGATTTTCAGGGTCACAGCTACCATTGTAGGCGCTATATGAAATTTATGAAATTTACCGGAAGCACATTAAATTTTTATATTCAATTTTTCTCGAAAGGAGAAGTGTTTTAGGGGCTAATTTTCTTGTGCTTATAATACATCTACAGGGGCATCCAAATATCAAAATTGTAAAGAATCACTTTCCCAAAACTTTGTATTACCTTTAATACACAGCAAGGAATCAGATTTCCCATATCCAGATTGTGGAAGACTGTCAGACACCATTGAGTATAAAACGAGCCTTAATAATAATAATAATAATAATAATGTCAATTTATATAGCGCACATATCCATTCTAAAAGACTGCTCAAGGCGCTCTTGTACAACATCAAAATAATTATACAATATTAAAACTACAACATAATTATACACTATACAAACTACGACATAATTTTACAATATTAAAACTACGACATAAACAAATGGTGCATAAGTTTCTTCTTAAATGTTTCGACTGATGATGATTGTCTTATTTCTAGTGGTAAAGTGTTCCATAGTTTGGGTGCAACGTTAGCAAAAGCCCTGTCCCCCCATTTGTTATTGGTTTTGGGTGTACATAACTGGAGCTGCGAACCTGAACGTAAATTCCGTTGTGGGGTGTACGGTTTCAAAATCTGATACAAGTAATGGGGTGAAGAATGAAGAAGTGTTTTGTAAGTAATGAGTAACAGCTTATACATAATTCTTTTTGAGACTGATAGCCAATGAAGAGATTTTAATATATCTGAAATAGTGTCTGATCTACTGCGGAGAGTGACGAGCCGAGCTGCCATGTTCTGAACTCGTTGCAGACGGGCTATTTGATTTATAGGAAGGCCAATATACAGTGAATTACACATATCCAAACGACATGTAATAAAAGAATGAACAATCTGCTCAGTGGCTTTCTGATTCAGATATTTTCTGATCCTCCAAATATTGTGAATATGGAATGATGCTGAACTAACAACATTTGAAATCTGAGATTTCATGGTCATTCCAGCATCAAACAAAACTCCAAGATTACGAACCTGATTAACACATTTTATTTCTGAGTTGCCAATCATGATCTTTTGTGCAGAAAATTTACTCAACTGCCTGGCAGATCCAATCAACATGTACTCAGTTTTGTCTTCATTTAACCTCAGAAAGTTATCATTCATCCACTGACTAACCGACCTAAGGCATGACTCAAGAGTTTTTATACCAATATCAACATTACATTGGGATGGTTTTAACCGTAAGTACAATTGAGTGTCATCTGCGTAAAAATGGTACTGTACATTGTGCTCCATTATCACATTACGCAGAGGACTCGTATACACTGTAAACAAGACTGGCCCCAAAACAGATCCTTGGGGAACAGAATAATCTTGGTACACAGGGTTAGAGATTGAGCTACCAATACGGACATACTGAGGGCGATATAATAAATATGATCTAAACCATTTCAAAGCTTGTCCATCAATTCCCAGATGACTCTTGAGACGTGAAAGGAGGAGTTTATGATCTACTGTGTCGAAAGCCGCGCTGAGATCTAGGAGCACTAGAGCTGATACTTCACCATTATCGAATGCACACATAATATCGTTGTGAACACGCAAAAGTGCTGTCTCTACGCCATGGTTTGGCTTGTATGCAGACTGGAATGCATCGCTGAGATCATGTTCACTGGCATGTTTATGAATCCTTGCACAGACAACCCGTTCAAGTGTTTTACCAAGAAATTTCAGATTAGATATTGGTCTGTAATTTCGGAGAACTTCCTCATCCAGTCCTGCTTTTTTCAGCAGAGGTCGAATGTAGGCGATTTTGAGGCTATCTGGAAATATGGCTTCAGCAAAAGATTTGTTCACCAGAGAAGTAATAAAAGGAGAAAACACATTGACACATCGTTTGATCAGAGACATCGGGACTGGATCTAGTTCACAGGACTTGCTAGGAGCCTTCATAATGACCGCTTCAATTTCTTTCTTTGTTACTGGGCAGAATGTATCCAAAGTCGGAATCTTTGTAGCTGCTGTTGAGGATAGCTGTATATCCTCCATCTTAGATTCAGCAACATGCAGTGTAAACACAGAGCGAATATCAGCAATTTTGTTTGAGAAGTATTCAGAGAAAGTGTTGACTAAGGTCTCATCAGATTCAGCTGTAGGCATTACACGTTTACTTGTAGTGTTGAGAAGCCCTTTCACTATACTGAATAACTTCTTCTGATCACCATGACTTTCATCAATTTTTGTTGAATAATGTTCGGTAATTGCATGGTTGATCAATTTATGAACAGTATCTTTTTGCAGATTGAAACTGTCCCTATTAGACGTGGTCTTGGCTTTGCGCCAATGGCGTTCACATCTTCTACAGGCCTGTCTAGCTAAACGGATATCCTCGGTAAACCAAGGGCTTGACGGCCTCGATCGAACAGTCCTGGTGCTGATCGGTGCATGTCTGTCTAGAACACCAGTGAGCTGTTCCTCGTAATATATCACAGCACAGTCTACTGAATTAAGTTCAATGTTTATCCCTGCAAGTGACATACACACATCATCTGAAAATTGTTTAATGTCCACTTGTTTCAAATTTCGAGTTTTAAGCGTAGTTGAGAGAAGAGGTATCTTAGTAAGGTTAATCGTAGCCATGATTCCATAATGATCAGAGAGTCCTGGATGAAAATTAACCTCCGAAATCAGGTCTGAAGAGCTTCGAGTAAGCAGGAGATCGAGGCAGTGGCCGCGTATATGGGTAGGCCCATTAACATATTGCACAAGGCTATGTGACTGCAGTAAGGACTTAAAGCGATTTGCATTACAATCAGTAGGATTGTCTACTTGGATGTTGAAATCACCACATATCAAAATGTCAGACGGATGAAATAAATAGTCCTCAATCATGTTTTCAAATTCTTTTAAGAACTGATCAAAAGCGACAATGTTCCCATGTTTATCACGACCAGAACGATAAACGTTTATGACCCGGGCTGATTTTGAATTACATGTTACTTCTAGGTGAATAGACTCAAAAGTGTCAAATTTCAAATGATCACTCTTTTGACGCACAGGTATGTTTGATCTGTGAAGAAATCCAACCCCGCCTCCAACTTTGTTCTGTCTAGGTACATGAAGAAATGAGTAGCCCATGGGAGTGAGTTCAGCAATCACTGCGCTGTCATATGGACGCAACCACGTTTCTGAAACGGCAACGATATCTAAATTATGCTGCAGTACGAGTTCAGTAAAGTCAATCGATTTGTTCCGTATCGACTGAGTATTTATTGAACAGAAATTCAACTTCGATTCATCATTGCATGGCAGAGATCTCAGATTGGCATGGCTTGTGTCTACATAAAGATAACCCACAGCAAATGGGACATAGTACCTTTAAAATGATTCAACAACTAACAATAGCTAGATATTCTTTCGTGCACACTCTCTCATCCTCATTTCTTTCTTTTACATTCAATCCAGAATTATAAAAAAAACATTTATTTAAAAACTAATGACGCTAAAATGTTTAATTCCAGACAAGAGTACAAGTACAAAGCAATAATTATTATTTTAAAAACACATCTAAAAACAATAAAGAGGTATTCAAACAGAGTTGGAGAAATTCACAAATACTATTAATACATAGATTGAAAAGGACCTTTGAAGAATGCAAAGTATTTCAAATTTACATTGAAGCAGTTATTTCTTCACATGCTAAAAAATTCAAAAACATTAAATGTATGGTGGTGGTGGATCACGTGCTGATGACAGCATACATTTTTTACAATTGATATTAATCAATAATACTGAGCTAATTCAAGATGGAAATCCTTACTGCACCTCCTCAATGTTGATGTAATTGGACCAAGAAACTTGATTTGCATAAAATCCCCAACACACATACGGGCCATCTTAAAAAAAAAAATTGATTGATAATATCTTAAAAACACTAATACACAACAAGGATTATCCCAATGATATTCATTGAAAATGATCAAAAGCTTGTTGCCTTTTTTTTTCTTCTTTGAGGCACCCCATATGGGACTGCACGCGTGTCCACACACAAGCTAAGAAACATTGTATAAAGAAATGTATACAGAAACTGATTTTGACGAGATCGGTTGACATAACAGCCGTCCAATCATGAGCGTGTGGTCACGTTAAGCCCCGCCCAGTTATACCATTCTAGTTTGACCATACGTCCACACACAAATTCTGTGATTGTTTATCGATTTCTAGTCAGAAACGGTGCCCAGACCCTATACCACGGCCCCCTTGAGTAAAAATAAAAGGGGGAAAAAATGGCACTTAACAACATTCCCCCCTTTTGATTAAGAAAATTGGGTAAAAATAGGGAAGAATAGAGAACATAAGGGAAAATTCTGGAAAAGAGGGAAAAAATTGGGAAGAAAAAAAAAATCATCAGGAAACCGATTTAAATCGGGTTATTATCAGGCCTGTATATGACGTATCGTTAGTAAGCGTACACACACACACACTTTCATCGTACAGCTATCCCAAAATGGGATAGCTATACAATGAATTTTGTGTGTGTGGACACGGGTGTATGTACCAATTCATTGTGTCATAGCAACAATACTAATTATTCTGTGGGATTCTCTGTGTGAAGATTTGTTGTCAGCACCAGAAGTTAGAATAGCTCTGAACCTCTGAAAACATATAATCAAATTGGCAACATACAAAAAAGCTCTGATACTTGTCAACATAATCGCACATAGTTCTCTTACCCATGGAATAAATTCATGAGAAATACTATTCACACAAAATATCAAATCCTCTCCTCAAATTGCATTTGTACAAAAGGCATTAACAGGATGAAGATTTTTTTGTCCATACATACACACAAAACATTTGCTCTTTTTTTTCTTCTTGTATAAAGAGTGCTTCTAAAAACATTTAAGAACTATACAGAGAATTTTGTACACTTACCCCCTCAAGACCCCGACCCCACACCCCCCCCCCCCCCTTTTTAAACTTTTGGCAGCACTGATCTTTTTTTATTTCTGACATGTATAAATAAGAATAAATAAACTGACCCCAAATCTTGTAGCTTTCTTGAATTTGTATGAAAAACAGTGATTTTGAACTTTTCAAAGAATTTCTCACTATGAATTATCCAATAAAAGCTGTGATGGAGCAAAAACCAGTTACCACTTCACCATTATGTGAATCTCAATTTTTACACCAAGTCATGATCAGATATATCTACAGAGAAATTTATCTACAAAAAAATTTAAGAACATTTGATTAAAAAGAAGAACAGAACTGGGGTTCAATTCCTTCAGAAATAACAAAATAAATTTGTAAAAAGCATCAATTATTTTCACAATTTAGTCCATGAGGAGTAGTAAAAAAAGAACACTAGAGCACATTAACTCCCATCAAGCACTAGTGGCCCTTATCTTCTTTCTGTGACCTGGAACCGCTAACCACTGCTTCTTGTCATAGACCTTGATGTTACAGAGGGAGGCGAGGGCGATGGGCGTAATGTCCAAAGGATTTTGGAATATGAGAAAGCACAGAGCTAGTCTTGTGCATCCAGTCTCTTAGTGGGTAAGTGATTTATAGATGGCCGATGTGTCCTTGTCTCCTAGCCCCATATTCTTTGCTCTCTTAAATTGCTGCAAAACAAAATCAATGTAAATTTGTATTAGTTATTTGCTGAAATAATATCATGCTGAAATTTCTGGCAGAATTATCAAAAAGTATTTTGCTGAACCGTCGTTTTTGTCAAAAATGTGTATTTTTTGAATTTTTCAAATTCTCCCTACCGCATACAGCGACTTCACTCTCAATAGAAATATGTGATCCTGCTGAAAATTGGAAATTTTTAAAGATTACCGACAAGTGTGCCAAATTTTTCTGAGATAATTTCTCAAAGCGCTAGTATATTACTTTAATCAATGCTAAATTTCAAAATTTGTAACTATCTAAATTATTACCATATATCGTATTACAACAATTTCATATTCACACACTTCCTAAAACCATTGTGTATTAAAATCGTCATGATCTCCAGTTTAGATAAAATTTGTCTGCTGAAAGCCACAAGGAAATTGCAAAATTTCTGGAAATAATTTTAAACTTTGAAACTTATACAGAAACCCGTTCTTAGAGCAATCTGTCTAAAAAGACCATTTTTTGTCTCTCTTAAGACGTCTTCATATACAGGTTTCACAGTAATTTAGAAATCAACAGCAGACACTCTTTAAAGACCAAAGAAGTGATTTTTTTTATGTTTTTAATTTAGGTACTATGTCCCATTTGCAGGCCAAAAAAATGAAAAGATTAAATTCCAATGGCATTTGAAAGATAATACTAATTTAGAACTTCCCTTAAAAAAAGGAGGGCCTAGTAGTTTGTTGAATCGGCGTAAGTGCTACCAAGTCAGTAAGTGATATTCTGATTTTCAGAACAGTGTACCGAATGGTCGTACGTTTTGTGCTGCACTTGTGGCTCTGATTAGATGCCTGAAAAGTGAGTGCCTTACCTCATTGACGGCTGATGCGACGGGGAGGGGTTGGTCTACCTGCTCTGACATAGCTAGGGCCAGCTTCAGATCTTTCTGTTGGTATTTCAGGGGGAAAGCTGGTGGGTACTTGTTGGCTAGGATTGCTGAAAGTCAAATAGAAAGACAAGACATTTAAGGCTTATTCAGATATGACACAGTGAAAAAAACACTTTAAAGAGACTTGTTAAGATGAGAGAAGATGGTGCTAAGGTAGTAAGACAATCTGAAAGTTTGAGTGAAAACGGACCATTATTAATGATAAACATTGAGAAAAACTGATCTGATCGATTCCAGAATTCTCCCGATCTGATCGATACCAGAATTCTCCCAACTATATTTTTATAATTTAATTAAATTTAATTTTAGATGAATGTAAATCTTCACAAAGCAATGAATTGGCTTTTTATACCATTCCAGACGTTGAAAGATTTTTAAATGCTTATTTTCACGTAAAAACAGTTGGGAAAAATTTAATGTTAGAGGGTGCCACACAGTCTTCAAAGAAAACGATATATATCTTTGTGGTTTGAGAATTTTTTCAGGAATTTTTTTTGCCTTTTAGAGGGTTAGTACAGTAGAAGGAATATAAAGTGCAACATTTCATACACAAATTACGCAGTATTTTTATCAACCTTCAACAATGTTACAGAGACACTTTAACAAAAATATATGAATGGCTTCTGGACTCAACAAATGTCCTGCATATATTCAATGAACTTATGTACTGAAGTTACAGAAATGTGAAAGGTATTGAACTTTACGCCATACCAACAATAAAATATCATCACGGTTTTGCCCCATCAAATCCTTTATGAAGGTCATAGGATTGGAGGTGGTTACAAGCTTTATCAGTTTTAGAGTATGAATAGAAAACTACAACAAACTATATGCAGCTATATAAATCATCTCGAACTGTGAATTGGCACACAACACATGCCACTAGACCACGAGATGACACAACAACTTTATATCTCTCATTCCTTTTCTGTTTGTTGGCTACGGTCATTTTCTCAACAGAGATACACTGTACCATCTTATTGCAAATAAATAAACATATATTAAACTTTCTAGACAATGAGTTTAAGAGCAGTTGACAAAATCTATATTTCACTCTCTTTGCACTTACCTTTTCCCTTTCCACTAATAAGTGGGTTTGCGATTGATCCAAGATTGAGAATGTCTAATAGAACGCTTTGACTGAGGCCTGACTTATCAGCCAGGGCCATCCCTTCTGCAAAGCAGCACATGACACCGCCTATGATCATGTTGATCACCAGTTTCATCCGAGCTGCATTGCCCGTGTCAGCTGGAGGATGACAAGAGAAGAAAACATCTTTGATAGTGGTGTTCATGAATGGTACGTTAGCCAAAAGCTTTCGTTGAAAAGGGGTGTATTTCCACGATACCATTGAAACTTTAAAAAAAAAGTTTTTATTGATGTTATTTTAACATTATTCTGGATAAGCTGGGGTAACTTTTACTTTTACATCTAGGTTAATGGAGTAACAACCCCCCCCCCCCCCCCTCCCCGGACAAGTTTACAAAGATTCATTACAATTCTCAGAGGTATGATTTACAAAAATAAAGATGAAATACACTCCTAAAAATGTTTGTAATACACCGACTGACCAACCATTAGTGTAGCTAAAGGTGATCACCGGGGTTAGATAAAGAAGGCAAAGGGGAAAGAAAAAAATAATTTTAAAACACCCTCCCACACCCTTCCCCCATTGGTAGCCTTGCTAATTCAAAGTTGATTCATAATACCAGTGCCCCGTAAATGCCCAAAACCAAGCTACACTACACCATTGTGACCAACTTCATTATCCATACTACTTCAAACATCATTTGCATGGATACAAGGTCTAAAAAAAAAAAATTAAAATGTTGTATTGCCATTTAGTGGTCAAAACTTGGGTCAGTCAGTCAAAAAAAAAAAATTCCCCTCTTTTGGCTAATATTTCTCAGTTTTTAATGCTTTAATACATATTTTCTTATATATTAAACATTTTTTTATCAAAAAAAATTAAGAGAGTTCAAGATTTTTAGGTCAATTTCAAAGGGCAATACAACATCTTTTTGTTTTACACCCTATGGCTTACAAAGATAGAACGCCTTCTTTCCCATGGCTTGAAAACATGATTCACACTCATCATAGAGCTCTTTATCTCCTGCTGCGATGATGATGAGAGAGCCTTCCATTGCTGGCTGAACGCTACCACAGACCGGGGCCTCCATGAAACGACCATCTCGTGCTTGTACAGCCTACCGGGATAGAGGGATTTTAAACAGGTCAATGACAAACAGACAGGTATTGATCAAACAAGACTTACTTCAGGCAAAGTTTAAACGCCACTTGGTGCCCCATAATTCTGTTGATTATGGTGGAAGTCCACCTTAGTACTTCTAAAGATAGTTGTAATTGTAATCAGTGAAAAATTGAGCAAATTTTGATACAATTAAAATATCATGGATCAAATACAAATTTGTATCTCTGTGAAGCATCTTTCGAGGTCCTGTCCCATTTGCTTTTTACTATAAAAAATAAAAAAATCACAATAGTACACATCACATGGGAGAAGACCTTGTGAAGTATGTCACAGAGTTGCCAATTTGTGTTTGATTACAACTTCATTTATATAAGATTTTTCTAAAAATGTAACTGACCCTTTTCTCTGATTTTATTAAAAACCAGTCAACCAGGGTGGACTTTAATTTTACTTTTAGGAATCCCAAGCCAAAACCTCTGCAGCATCGATATCAGAAAGCAAGCTGCCTGCATAAATTACTTAATCATCATTCAGGTTTATTTTTTATAACTTTTTTCTTTCTTTTAAATTTCAAATTTTATGCTATTATCCGATTAGAAGGGATTTGGGGCAATATCTTCCTTTGCTCATAATATGTTGTTTTTCCTATTTAGAACAATATCTTATTAAGTATTTTTCTTGTTCAGAACAATATTCTATTTCCTGTTCCTAGGGATGTAATCCTCAACTTAATTCTATGCTTAAATTGTCTCACCTCTGAAACTCCTGTCACTGTGCCTATATCCACCGTTGACATGTCAACAAATGCCTTTCCTTCGGTGATGCCTTCTAAAACACCATTCTCACCAAATACAATCTATTAAGGAATAAGAAAGGAATTGTTATCTTATCTGTATTATGGGAAACTTTGGTAATCTGTTAAGTACAACTAAACCAGTAATGATTATTTGAATACTTTTACCTGTATAATATAACATGTGTAATAAATAAGTTAGCAGAATTATGAAACATGGTTGAAATCCTTTGCACAAGAAATTTTTTACAGAGTGTCTTTTAGATTTTCTAGGGGTCTTTTTAATTCCTATGACAATTGTAATAAAACTTTTTTTTAGGAGGGGAGGGGGTAACAGACTTACCAAGGGTGTCACCACTTAAAAGACTATTTTTAAAGATGATTAAATTTATTAAAATACCCTTTGGGACCTAACAGACAAATATAGTTTTCACCATAGACCCCTCCATAGTTTAGCTTTCCAATTTAATGCATTCACAAAAATTTATACAATTTTTGTTAGTCTCTCAAAATAGAATGTTTATTTATGTCATTGCAAAATGTCAAAAATATATGAAACAACTAAACTATCTGCAAACGAAGAGGGTTTGGGTTGAACCATGCATGCTAAGAACACAATGCAATACTCATATTTAAAGTGAATCCCACTGCAGTCGTATACTTATCCTGGAAGGAGAGACCTGAGGATTATTTTAATGTTCACTACCAACCCCCCTCCCCCCACCCCTCCAGCACACATAAAACCATCTACATACCGCTCTGACTGCCTCTGAGTCTGATACCATTGAGAATGTGATGTCACAAGATGCTACAAGGTCTGATACCGTCTCAGCTTGTGTTGCGCCAGCCTTTACAAACTCTTCACACTGTAAGATATAACATACAACAACATGATTAGAATCAAATTCAATATAAATACTAAACTATTCTTTTTTCTTTTTTCTGAGGAGGCTGTCACAGGGGCAGATCTAAAAAAACAGAATGCAATGTCATTTCTCACTACTTATTTAACCTGTTTACTTGCCCATGGATTCCCCTAGTTCCACTAGTAAATACTAGAATAAATACACTGTATGTATATTTAGTGTGCACATTAAACTTTGTTAGTATGCTGCCCTCTCCAGGCAGGAAAATTGCAATATCAGAGAGCCAGAGTGATGGAGATTTCCAGGTGTTCATGAACAAATATCTGATTACAATACATGTTCTATAAATTATCTTTTGCTAACAAGTATTATCACTTTATAACAAAATGTATACCCTGTCAAATGTATCTAATCAACACCAACAAATATCAAGTTGATATTACCATATTGTTGAGACCCCAAAATTTATTTGCCACATTTGTAAATTCTTTTTTACTAATTCAAGACTATAGACAACACGATCACTGAAGCAGAACACAATACAACGTATGAAAATATGTCATCACAGAATCAAGTCTGTGCAACTTAACTAAAATATTCTCATAGAATGACTAGATGCTATGAAATGTAATAAATGCTAGAAATAATTATCGCTATTGAAATTCTTTGAAGAAGAAAAAAAAAAAAAGGTTTATGTGTACTGTTACATGGACTCCAAATCAACAGAAATGTTATTGTGATATCAATGAGATAAAGAAAACACTGCAACACTATATCGTGAATAGAGAAAAATATGAACAAATAATTTGTTGAAAAACAAACTGTGATTCCAATCAATTTAAAGAATATTCAAATCAGCACATAGACTAGACCTACAGTACTTATTAACAATGCTGCATTTTTTTTGCCAGAGCTCATTTTGATCTTCCTGAGTAAAATTACCCATTTTTTCTACTTGTAATTTCATCACCTAAATTTAAGGCCAGTCTGAATTTAATTTCCCTTTAATACATGTAAAATCAACCATATCATTCTTCATACAAAATCAACAATATCCAGTATCTATATGAAGATAGCAAAGTTCAATATCTTCTGCAAGTCTGAATTATTATCTCTCAAACGTTTCCACAGCAAATAAATTGTATGATAAAAATCTATATGCTTTTGTGCTGATAAAGCTCACAAGCCCAAGCCCACGCCCACCCCCTCCCCTTTTTTAAAGATAAATATTATAGATATCATCAAAAATCACAATGCAATGCCAAGAAAATTAATGATGTTGTAGGCTACAGGCTACAGACCAACAAAACTGTCTGACAGGGATGTACGTGTAGCAGAAGTCCATTAACACCAGAAGGAAAAGATGTAGACAGATATATTTTCACAGCACTCATGTTTATATATACCTCAGCATAATTTTCTGAGAAAAATTCATCAGTTTCTGGATAAAGACCATGTGATTCCTATGCAAGTCAAAGAAAATTACCAAGTTTTCAAAATTATATAAGCTACAAAACTGTTCATCGAAATAGATATCATTGCAAAGATTAAGATAGACATTTAACTTCTTTTTTTCTTCTCCTAAATACATGTAGACCCATTTACACTGTGACCCAGACATCTAGATACAATGGAAGTTGAATAGCATTGTAATGTTTTGTAGCACAACTTGTAAATGGGCCTTACAAAAGTCTGCTGTATTATGTAATTCAATTATTCAGATTCGAGGAACTTCAAACGCTCTATAATGGTATGAATTACCCTTTCTCTCCCTCTCTAGGGGTGACTGAATGAATTGTCCATTTGTAAATTGTTGTTAACTATCCTTCAGACTGAGTAATGCGAGGTACTCTTCTGTACCAGTCCAAGTATAATGGCTCTATTCTCCTCTATATATTTCCCTTAAAAGCCTTTAAATCAGCATGACTTATATAAACAGATTTTGCCGCCTGCCTTTTCTAATTATATCTTTACGTATTGGTCTTGTCTGACCTGTCTCGAACAGGTTTCTTTTTGTATATTACATGTACGTACATATTTTGCTCTTTCTATTTGTCTGACTGTCTGCATTTGCGTCTATCCATCTTTTAGCCACTTTACATGACCTTTTCTTTTGAAGAAAAATATACAGTCTTGATCATATTTCAATTCATATGGGCATATTAATCACTAGTATTTACTTTTTTTTAAAAACAATTGTGGCAGACTGAATAAAGCAAGGAGGGGATGAGAACAATTATTTGTAGGCTAAACAGCTTTGGGAATAACTGTAGAATACTCCAGTTACACAAGTGACCTTAGGGTCCAAACCTAACACTTACGTGGTGACGTATTCTGAAGCTAAATCCAGTTTGGTTATTAAAAAAAATACAGTATCAGTAACGAAAGCTTACATTCTATTGTCAACTAAATAAATGGTGACGAGGCATGAGCAAATACCCTTTGCTCTGACAAGGTTTAAAGACGAGTCTGTACCAAGCACCAGCTTGTATGACAGACAGGAGGTCCCTGGGACATCCAGGCTGCTTCATCTCCCATTAACTTGGTTCACGGTTCAAGTTTGCAAAACTTCAAGGAAATCACATTCATAACAGCAATTGTACTTTAGTTTCCTTAGGCTGAAAGTCTGCCAATCTACAAAGGAAGTGTGATTTATTGACATAAGCTCATAAAGGGTATAGTTACCTTTTCAAAAGCTATGGAAAAAGAAAGGGGGCAATTCTTCTTCATTTTTTGGTGGGTGGGGGCAGTAATATCATGGTGATCAAGGTACAAATTAAAGGACAAGGTAATTCAGATTATTGATTAAGATTACAAAACGATTGAATTTTAAACCAGTTCATTTTATTTGACAGGGACAAGTTATATAAAAGAAGCAAGCAGATGAATTTCAACAAACGAGGAACTATATACCGGTAAATAAGAAAACAGACCTATATATTTACACCACACACAATTTAAGGTGCTTTCCGATAGAGATGTTGATGAAAAGTAAGTCTGAGTAAACAATGTTATTTGATAGGATGTAGGTGCACTGTTGCAGCTAGTCTACACATATTAAACAGACTCCATTTTGCCACTATAATGATGAGATTCACTGTGGAGATTTAACTACTAAACAAAAATTGGAAGTGAGGTCTGTATGTGTCTTGGCTAAAGTTCTGGATTGGAGCCTTTGGGTGATAATTAGGGGAATGACAATTGATGGATTGCCCTTGAATAAGATCCACCTGTTGATTTCAATCTTTCCTTATACCTTGCTTGAGACTTGCTGACAATGCAGCCTGCATTCCAACTGCTGAAATACAGGTGAATGCAACACCTTAAGAAAAACTACTTTGATGAAAGTAACATACAAATATACATGAATAGGGCTTCTACTTGAATAGGCCATTTTTCGTAATGTAACCAAATTTAATGCATAAGTCTTTGTGAAGTGCCTCGATACAAATTATCTTATTCACCTGATAAGAAAATAGTATTTCAATAGTCAGAATACAAACTGCAGATATCAAGTGTTGCTAGGTAGGTCAAGCAGTAATGTTAGCCCTACCCAGCAACAACTAATGTACGCAGTTAGGATTCTGTCTATTGAAATACTATTATTCTTAATCAGGTGAATAAAATAATTTGTATTGAGGCACTTCACAAAGACTTGTGTATCAATTTTGGTTACATTACCAAAATGGCCTATTATCAGGCAAGGGTAGTGAGATTGATAGGTTACATAACATTCAAATCTGCTGATTAATATCTATTTATTCACATGACACATATTTATGCATGAAATTTGCCTCTGGGGTGTCCGTTTGCGGTACCAACTGTACAAAATGTGTATCATACTTTGGGAGGGTATATTTCTGGCATGTGCTCCATGTCCTTGTATGAGCAGTTCAGCTAACTAGGCCAGTGTATAGACAAACAGCCACCTATAATGCCATCAATAACTACACCATCATCTTAACACTACATATTGACACATTTTAACCAAAATCGATATACTGGCCCAGTTTATTATTATATTTGTGCCAGCTGTTTTCTTCTGGCATAAATCTGGTAATGCTAAGTGGGGCTGCGTTTTCAACTGGAAAACAGTTTCAAGGTTAGTTTTATTGGGGCCCAAGTTAAATATATTTAACTTTTACACCCAAAATAGGTTTTTAAAAAGAAGTCCACCCTGATATTTATAGAAGCAGAAAAATGAGAGGAACAGGTCAGTGAAATTTTTAGCAAATTCCAAACAAAAATAATTAATTTATGAACTTTTGAAGTACACGAATTGGGATGTATCTTGTGGAGTATTCTCCCATTTGCTATGTATATTAAATTTCATTTTCTTATTTATTGGTGAATTTTATATCATACAGGAGTTGCATATAAACACATTTGTTATGATCATATTTTCTAGAGGAAAAACAAACATTTCTGATTTTGTTTTAAATAGAAAAGAGCTTGCAAGACATAACTTATTTTTAATCAGAATTTGCTTAAACTTTCACTGACCTGTTCCTCTCATTGTTCTGCTTCTATTAAAACCAACTAAATACCAGGGGGAATTCCCCTTTAAATTCTCAATATAAATTTCATTTTCAAGGTGTGGGAGTGCAGGATAGAAAAAAGGCTATGCACTACAAACAAAAACAGCACCTTCACCTTGTTTTTCTTTCAAATATGCAACTGCAGAAGCTACAGAGATAGGTAATCACAAAGCATCTGGCAGGTAGCAGATGTGTGTTTATTTGTTTGTGTTGTTGCATGCTATCTTCGCATATGACGTATGTGAATGAGTGTGAAAAATTACCACGAACTACTACTAGGACTAGGTCAACAGACTTTTTTTATTTATCAATTGTCATTTTCATGTTCTGACTAAGAGTAAGAGTCTAGAGTCTGTCCCATTGTCAGAGTAGTCAGTTATTATTTCCTTTACTCTCTGACTGCCAAATGCAAAGCTTTTATCACAATATTCTAAATAGAGCAAAAAATGGATGCTACTGTATGCTGCCCCACGATTAAAAAGACTTTCTTCGTATTAAAAAAAAGTAATTGGCAATGAATTGTCTAAATATTTATCAAACATTAAACACTTTACTGTATACTTTTCATAAACTAGTTTTCATTTTGTGTGAAAAGGGATCTATCTTCTATGCTGGCAGCTCAGTTTCTGTAACAGTGTGATAAATCAGACTACAACTATATAGCATAATAAGGTCATTAAAGAAAGAAAAATGAATTCATTTCTACATCTAGATTCTTATCAAACACACTAGAAATTAATATCATGAATAATAAAAAAGCATGTTTCTTCCTCGAAGACAATTTATTCTATAAATAGATGCTAGTGTACCTTTTCTTACAGTCTGGATAAAGATAATCCCTATCCCAAATAAAACTTTTCCCAGTCTACTTTACTTTCTCCCAAATAAATACCTTCTCTATGTTTCATAATTTCTCTCATTTCTTCTCTGTACATAGCATAGGACTAAATCAGAAAGCCATTCAAATGATCCCACAATTGTCTAATTCTTATCACAAAAGTTAATAGAATACAACCTTCACCTTCCCAATCTCTTTATTTAGCCAATATTTAATAAAGCCCATCGATAACAACGCAATGAATGGTACAGGCAATCACCACTTCTATTCTTTATTCCCACCCACCCCATATTTGTACACCAAACCCTGTCTCATTTGCAAAAGAAAAGTCCCTAATTATGCATGACAATAGCTCTGGTACACATGAGTGGACCGAGCATGTGTGATGTCACTGGCTCGAGTGTATGCATTGGTAAACAATCCCTGAGTGTGTCTATGTGTGTGTGTATTTGCGTATGTGTGTATGCAGTGCATTGTGGTACCTGCGCTGTGTGTGCACAAGAGCCGTATTACCAGGAGATGGTGTAGCCTGGCACCGGATTTCAATAGCGGTTGGTCTTTTTTCCCCCACATTCACATTGGTTGCTCGTACAGCGTTACGCGGAGCTTTCGGTGTCAAAAGAGAACTGCTTCAAAGAGACCAGTCAACCAACTGTCGCGTTATAGTTAACACATGACCAGGATAGACTCATGCGGTACAGTATTATACCAGAATACATCAGTGTAGGATATTAGAAGTGAATTTACTAGCATATTGTTTCTATTTAAAAAAAAATAGAAATGGAGAGATCTAACTTACTATGATGATGGCACAATCACAACTTTGGAAGGATTCTGAAATCATGATGCTTGTTTTTAATACTGGAATGACCTCAGTTTCACATAATAGTAAGTATGCATGCCATTACAGTGTGTCTTGATTCAATATATTCATATCCATTCCTCTTACTTATTTGTAATTGAAATTATTTTTCTAATATCACATTTGCTTCTAACTAAAAAATCCTCAGAAATTTCTACACACACAAAGCTTCCCTCCACCTTTTTGCACTCAAATTTACGGGGAAAATATATTACAAATCTTTTAGCTAGCTAGTTGACCTACAGTATATGAGCATTTCACTAAAGTTTCAAATGAACAAAAATATCACAAGGCAAAAATATGATACCTCAATGCCATATTCAAAGTTTCATATACTATGCTGGGATATTTCATGATATGAATCGGGGCAAAAGCAGCAACAAACATAAAAGTATGAACATCATCCAGAGGTCTCATGAACCCTTGTGAGAAACTGATCAATACGAAACCTATACATGTAGGTTTTGTATAGATCTGTTTCTTAAGAGGCTATAGGCTATAGACATGCAAGTTAAAGGCCCACTGCACTACGGGTAGCTACTTGCGCCCTCTATATAACAAACAATGCCTAATCGGTGACCATTGGTCCCCCATGATCCTCTTTTTCTTATGTTAACTGAGAGCTGAGTTGATGAGATAACCACCTGTCCAGTGACCTTGCAGAGCGGTCTAATCCCTCCTGTAAACTACGGCAGATAAGCTCTAAAGGGTATAAAACCATAGCCAATTTTCTTTCTAATTTTTGAATGGATCAATTAAATATGTAAATAAGTTGCAACGATACAGATTGAGGGTACTGTATTAAAAATAAGAAAATCACATGTCATTTAAATCATGCTAATGACTATATTAAAACTTGATCATATAGACCTATACATACATGTACATGACCATGGAAAGCCTACATGCAAATATCCTTATAAGGACATGCGATGTAAGAACTAACATCCCTACAGGATGTTATTGAAGATAAATTGATGGTCACTGTATTTAAAAGAGGATATGATATGACAATATCAGATGAGGAAATAATGGGATTAATTTGCATATGAATGAAGCCAGGTCAACAGGTATGCAACCACAAGCAATTTTGAAAGTCACAAGCACAGATAATACATTCTGCAACACTGGCTTGATCTTGCACAATAGCCCTAAAATATAACCATCAGAATTGATCTACATGTATATATACACCTATCTATTTGATATTGACCACTACTTTGAACATCATGATTACCAAGCAATAGCAAGAAATATTTTCTGGCCACTAGCTTTTTTCTCAGATATTCAACAATCCCTCTACATATTACGTATGCCTTTTTTTTTTGCTGATAGATTCGACATTCAAAGAGATCTTACCAGTACTTGAAACTGACAGTGCACTGTCAAACACCGTGCTCCAGATAATTTGCTGGAATTCAGAATTGATAGTTTTTACAGGATTTGCCTGTTTTCCTGCATGACCTTCGTGTACTTTTGTCTAGTTCAATCAATTCCAAATCAAATGAATTAAAGGTCTGTAAAATCAGGGAATCACGTACATGTAGCTCTACAGTCTTTTTGTAGACTCAGATACAGTGCGATAAAAGAGGTGGAATTGAAAGTTTTTTAGCTATTAATATTTATATCTTTTTAAATATAACATGCAAAGGCATTTGCCAAATCTATTTGAAAGCAAATGCAATTTATGGCGCAACTATGTTAAAGAAAATTATCATACACTAGAAATCAATCAAATATTTGCCAAAGGCAAGTCAATAATGGATATGAATGAATTGGTCAAATAAACCGAAAATAACAGGGCCTCATGATATTTGTTTTGGAATTTGGTCTGACCTTTAAACTATGATTTGGCAATAATTAGTGGTCATTTGGACACAAGTTAAACAACTAAACAGAACTTGTAGGATTACCATAAAAAGTAATGCCTGTTTATGAGGCTTACACAAATATTACACTGAAGTATACTAATTTCTTGACATATTGATATCATTGATTTATAATTTAAAAAAATAATAATTCACAGAAGCAGAGAAAGATAAAGCTTTAGAACTCCAGGGGAGGGTAGGGGAGGGGAGGGTAGGGGAGGAAAGGAAAGGAGGGGGAAGAAAGAAAAGGAGGGGGAGGACAACAAAGGAAGAAATAGATCAAATGCAATGAAAGCTTCAGCCTCTGATAACCTACATGTATATCGTAAAACATTCACCAATATACATTTCTTTTTTCTCTTCACAGAGGCAACAAGACCAAGACAGCAGTGATACACCGTGATGCTGAAGCCCCAAGGATGGCCGTGGTACTCACTCTCATAGTCCTCAAGAGCATCATGCTCCTCCTTGTGTTCCATGCATACGTTACTGATGGGAGAACTCTCGATACAGCGATGCAGAGGAGAGATGAATGCCCCATCCCATGTTCTTGTTACAACCGCACCGTCATGTGCAATGATATGCACCTGAGGGAGGTGCCTTTCAACATTCCCGCAAGTACGAAAGCATTGTATCTAAACGATAACGCTATTGACAAGTTAGATTTTGGGCTTTTATCGAGACTCAGTGGGTTGGAGGAGTTGCATCTACGAGGTAATAACCTGGAGGGAATCAAGGAGAAAGACATCGAGTTCCTTCCCAGGTTGCGACATCTCGATTTGAGAGATAATCCTTTAGTGTGTGATTGCCCACTTGCCAATGTGGTGGGAAGGAAGTTGGACGATGCGATGCCTTTGGATGTCATATTGGGAGATACAAAATGTGTTACACCTATGCAAGATGAGAGACGAGCGAGTAATGTGTTACGAAGACTCGACTGCAGGCATCGCAGTAGGAGAGGCGAAATGCAATGTCATCCTCAGTACTGCCTCAATGGTGGTACTTGCAGTCTCGATGGGCCATACTGTGAATGCCCAGATTCTTTTGTGGGTCAATACTGCGAGAGACCTTATCCAGCCTTGCAACTTTTTCTAGACGATATTACTCCTAGCAGTGTGAAGGTATCGTGGAGGTCACCACATCACGCAGACAGGTACTATGTCCTTTTCCAAGAACATAGCCTTGATGCTGAACCTAAATATATCTGGACAAAAGAACATTTCTACATCTTTTACAGACTATCTCCTGGGGTATTTTACCAAGTGTGTGTTACAGGATACATAAGTGATGAAGTTAATTTAGATGAATGTTGCAAGGAATTCACCACTCAGCCTCATCCTAGCCGTCCTGAAGTCGAGCACCCGGAACCTCCACCTCCACCTCCCCCACCAGGTAACGGACCCAAAGAGAGGAAAAGTGTCATTCAAAAAGCAGCTGTTATTCTTGGATCAATCATAGGTGTCTGTGCCTTTTTCATCATCTGCCTAACTCTGGTTTACAAATTCCGCACCCTGAGAAACCCTAGGAACTGGGGTGGAAGATCCCCTTCTCCTCCGATAGATGACGAAGCTGAGGCCGCAATAGAGGCCGAAACAGAGGCCGAAACAGAGCTCTCTCAGGATCGGGGACATGACAACAATGCTAGTCACGATGTCTTTGTGGTTTCGGTTCCTGCACCGGACCAAGCAACAGCTCCACCTGAAGATGATCCAATTGAACAAATGAACAGAGTTCTGCAAGCCTTGCAACCATCAAGTTCACGAGGGCAGCATGAGACAGCCTCACCAAACCCTCTAGTATTATATCGTTCTGAACACAGGAACAGGAACACAGCGGCGGAGGACGTCACGGCTCTGTCTCGGGACAACCCCTCAGGGACCACGCCCATCTTCCTTGTGGCAGATGGGAACCACTACCCCCTAGATCCAGCTCTTTCACAAGTTTTATGCAGTGCAATGTCCAGAAGCAACGTTCCTAGGGAGCCCCTCCCCAATGAACCTCCCCCGCCCTACTCGGAGAGGGCAGAGGATGCCCATCCCACCCAGCCTCAATTTGAAACAGGATAGAGGTGGATTGTCCATCTAATGATTAGTGTGAACTAAAATTTGATGCATCTTTAGTTGAAACTCCAGATGAAAACAAATAGTACTTCTGTCACCTCATCTGGTAAAGATGAAAAGCAGAGTCATGAAAGTTTCGTAAATTTGCTTACACATTTTGTTTCAATTCATTGTAAGATTTCTAAGCAATTAATAGGGTCTTTAAAGAAGTTCATCTCAAAATACAATTCAGTTACTAAAACTCAATATCATTTTTTAGCGCATTTTTCATGCAGGATTAGTGTGCAAAGAAAAGCATCAGTAATCAAAAAGCAGACAATCCACACACACAAACTTACTTTAAAAATGAATGTATAGATTATGAAAAATGTGTACAAGTAATTTAGAAAACAAGTTGATTCTGTCAATTTCCAATTGCCTTAAGCGTTAAATGCCTAATAACTGTATGCAATTTTTCAGAACATGTATTGTTTACTGGTATGTGTATTCAAATGAATGCAGTTGGAATAATGATATAATGATACAGAGAGGGTAGAGAGCCAATTTGAAGAAATAAAAAAGAATCATAAATCAAACATAGACTGTGGGGGAGAATGGCAGAAAATAGTTAAAAAAGAGAGAAGGGGGTGGTCTCCGATATTTCCTCATCTAAATCATTTGAAAAATAACCATCAAACAAAATAATTAAGAAATTACAAATAAATTTCAGCATTGCTATGGTATTGTCAAAATTAGCAGCTTACATTTGAACAAAATTCAAGGTACTAGTGCCATGAGCACGCAAAGTCTAAAATATGAGTGTTATATTCAAGATTCAAACATTACCATTGTCATATATTGTTATCCATATCTAATAGGGATATAAGATCAAGGGATATGATATTGAGGCACAGATGCACACTCTATCTACGTCATATTCATGTAATGATATTTGAATTCCAATTTTTCCCTTTATCTAAAATAAAATGGTTATTTTAGTAATGTGAAAAACATGATTGTCGTTTTTTGACAAATTGAGAGAATTCTGCATTTTAGTTTGGTTTATTCCATATAAAATTGTAAATCAGGGTATAATTTTAGAAGAAGCAAGATACTTCACATTGTGCATACATGTACTACTTAATGCCAAAGGTTACTATAATTTGATGCGATTTCACAGGTAAGAAGAATGTATGTCTAACATATTCATGTACAAACTGTACTAAATGTGAAAAATTGACTGAGATATTTATATGCTGTGAAAATTTATATATTTTACTTCAAGAAGATTATGGGTTGTGTCGATTGGCATGTTAAATTAAAGAAACAAATCAAACGCAATATTTCAAACATGTTATTTGTATTTTTTTTATAGGGCAAAATGTGTATAAGGTGTGTTTGAGGGTACTATTTAACTGTTCAAAAAACAAACATGTATGTTCAGAAGATTATGGGAATGCAATCACTTAAGTCGATTCGACAAGTAATGGTCGTTATTCTCCCACTAAAAGCCATTTTCAAGCACCTTTTGTTTTGAGGAAAGTTCTAAATTAGTATTGTCTTTCAAATGCCGTTGGAATTTAAGCTTATCATTTTTTTTGGGCCTGCAAATGGGACATAGTACCCAACATTCACCCACTTTATCTAAATTTCCAAGGAGTTTTTTTTCCCTTCTTCTTCTTCATATGTCTTATATTCTGAGAAAGATTGATTGACAATTTCAAAATTACTTTCACAGCCATCTAAAGATAATAAATAGTACCTTCAAAGCAAAAAGAAATGTGATGTATGACCATGTAGAGAGCAGGAAGGGCAAGAGAGGGAAATAAGAAAAAGTGATAGAGAAAAGGAAATTGGGGAGAGAGATAGAGAGGGTAAAGGAAAGAGGAAGAGAGACAGAGAGAGATAGAGATGGATAGAGAGAGAGAGAGAATGAAGGAAAGAGAGAGAGAGAGAGAGACATAGAGATGGATAGAGAAAGAGAGATAGAGAGAACGAAGGAAAGAGAGAGAGAGAGAGAGAGAGAGACATAGAGATGGATAGAGAGAAAGAGAGATAGAGAGAATGAAGGAAAGAGAGAGAGAGAGAGAGAGATAGAGAGAGGTGGTGAAGGAGATAGAGGGAGAGATACATGTACATGTAGAGGGGAGGGAGAGAAAGAGAGAAAGCAAGCTCTGGGTTCAAACTACGCACTCAAGTGGGCTGTTTGGAGGAGTCATGACTTTTGCTGATAAGACATTCCTACATGTACAGCAAGAGGCGAACGTGGAAGGGCATTGGATCTACATAATTATACATCTCTGTACTGCAAGAGAATTGTCTTATAAATCTTTCTGCTCGGGCCCAGATGAAAGTAAAATATGAGTCAAATGTACTTCCTTAAAGGTAATATGTCCCATTTGCAGGCCAAAAAAATGAAAAAGTTAAATTCCAACTGCATTTGAAAGATTATACTAATTTAGAACATCCCTAAAAAGGTGGGGCTTGGAAATTTCTTCAAGTGGGAAAATAACGACTATTAGTTGTCAAATCGACTTTAGGGCTATAGAGCCCCAAAGTAATAGTCTTGATTTTCAGACAATTGTACCGAATGGTAATACGTTTTATGCTGCGCAAAGATTCAATCAGTTTAATCTTGGCCATCACAAGAAGTGGGTTATTGATGTTGACAAATGCTCATGTACCCTTTACAACTCTTTTCATGTATGTTATTACCAAAGAAAAAAACAAGCCAGTCAGTCACTCAATAGTGTCTGACAGTGAAGTCTAGCAAGTAAACAGGTTTCCTTGCATAATTTGAATATGAGGACACTGCTAACGTTTAAATTTCACAGATAGGACATACATGACATATTCATAATTCCTGCAAAGTTCTACAGAATTTGAGGTTGGCTGCAAAAGGGACATAGTACCTTTAATGCATTGGATTCAAAGCACCATTAGGGCCAGAACTAATGGGAGTAACTTCCTTCAAGCACTGGCTTCCCTACCAGGTCCCAGATTGAAGTAACATGAGATACTTCCGTCTAGCACTGGCCGATAGCGGCAGGATGTCGAGCAAGGATCTAGGTATCACTGGTTACGCTCCTGACATGGTACAACCTGGTACAGACTTCCATATCCAGTCTCGATTAATATGCGGCATGTTCACATCCAGACTTTTTACAACCTGGTACAAACCAACACAGACCTACTTTCACATCTAGATTTGATTAAAATGTGACATGTTCATAGTTAGACTTAATCATTAAATCATGTTTTGTGCTCTTGATGTGGTACATCCCTGATTAAGGCCATTATGATGTGCGAAACTTGATACAGACTATTGACCAAAAGTGATCTACTTAGATCATCTCTCTTTTAATATAAAGGGGCATATTCACATGCAGACTTGATCAAGATATAACATAATGCAGCCTGGAACAAATCGACGCTTTAAATCTACTTCAACATCCTGACTTGATTATCACCTAGGTCATGTTCTGATTTAGGCTTTATCTGAACATGTTTCAGCTCTTGACATGGTAAACACGCAGCCTCGCACAGATCAACACAGATCTACATACACATACCTACTTGATCAAGACATACAGTATTCACATCCAGACTTAATCATGATGTGAGATGATGCAAGCTGTATGGACGTCCACATCTTGACTTGATTAATGCAGGGCAAGTTCACATTTAGATTTAATCATGATATGTGATGCAAGCTGGTACAGACCAACATCATTCTCCTTCCACATCCAGTCTCAATGCATACAGTGAATGTTCACATTCAGACTTAATCAGGACATGTATGTGTATCTTCACACTTGACACGGGACATTCTTGACTGAAGTCATATTCACACTCAAGCCTTACTTACTTATGCCAATACTCGATACAACTTGGTATGGAACAATAATAATCTACCTCCATATTCATATTTGATTATCAATAATAATAATATTCTGTTTTTATATAGCGCTCAATAGATCGATCCAACGATGTGCCTAAGCGCTTTACAGATATATTCATATTATATTATGACAGATCATGTTCCGATTCAGACTTCAATCAGGAAGCCTGGTAATGACAAACGGAGATCTACTACCATATTCCTCCTTGATTAATACCGGGCATGATACAAGCTGGTACCAACTAATAATTAATTTTTTTATTTTTTATTCCAACTTGATAACAAGTTCTGTTTCGAATGTAAGGCTTCCGGGGAGTAATCTCAAATGGTAATGGACTTTCTTTTCGGCTAGCATCCAGTATTAGTTCACATCTAATTGAACTTTATTTGATTCCAATCACAGTAAAAAATGACATAATACAGTGTTGTAAAAAATAAATCTGTATAATATGTCCTTTGGAAAAACAAAAATAAAAAAGACATGGTTATATCTCCTATAAGTATAGAATGGAAAAAAGGTACATCCGTAAAAGCCACAAGGGCTTGATGAATGGGCGTACCCTGAGCTCGTCACAATATAAATTAAGAATAAAAAGCTTAGTCTGCTGAAAATGAGTAAAGGAACGAACAATGCATTCAAGATATCATTTAAGAAGAACTAAAATAAGATACAATGACAAGAAGTGCTGCTTACATTTACACTTAAATGATTTGGTGAACTGAATTGATTGAAAAGAATGAGGTAATGTGTTATCAATAACAAAATCAAGCATGCGATCTTTATTTACTGGGTGCAAACCAAAAATTTCTTGACAAAAAGTCCTGTTTCGTTTTTGATTAAATCAGAATATTCATGTTGAGCTCTTGATCTCCCTGTCACACCAACTAGACTGACACCAGACAGACAAAACAAATACAATTCCCTTATTGGCTAATGATTGGTCGGTTTGAAGTGCAGGGTTTAAAGTTGGCCTGGCGGTGTGCCTGAGGTCTGACATGGTACCCTGGTACTGACCAACACTGATGTGTTCCCACATCCGTGATACATCAATACATGGCATGTTCCCATTCAGACTAATCAGGATTCTATGTACCCTTGATGTGATACATGAACAGCCACGTGCTGCCCAACACACATCATGCTACGAGCAGTATTGCTGTCTGGCAGTGTCCTGTCCTGTTTATATCAACGAATTGCATTTCTAATGTGTATGGCATCGAGATCAGGTTTTGATGATTAAGTACTTTCAGTCTCTCATTCATTCTTTCTTTCATACAAATCTACAACAGTTCTGATTGAGGTCATGTTCACATCAAAACTAAATTAACTTCTATTGACCAACATTAATCTCCTTCCATGCTCAGGGTCAGACATGATCATGATATTTTCCTGGACGGTTCAAAAGATGACATTTTATGTCTTTCGTAGAGATCTCTGATTCCTTATTACAAGGCATGTTCACTTCAGGAGACAATAAGTTTACTCTAGCCACAATGTGTTATCATTAAGAGATTACAATTTACATCTTTTTCTAAATCCTCAAAAAACAAGAACTGTCAATCCTCTTTCATAACTTTGCTCAGATAGATTGTTTCTGTAGTATTTCACAATAATTTTTCTGAAGGTTTTCAGAGTTCATTCATTTTTTGTTTAATTCTTCGCTCATTGTATCACATTTTTATGGAGGGCCCTCAAATTGAAAATGGCATAATATTAATATTTAGCAATGTAGAGTTTTTCTTTTTATGAAATGGCTCTTTAAAGGCTGGCTGTACAACTTCAGCCAGAAGAGATTAGACCACACAGCGAGGTCACTGACAGGTGGCTATCTCATTAAATCAGCTCTCAATTAACATAAGAAAAGGAGGATCATGGGGAACCAACAGGCACCGATGGGGGAAGTTTTCTATATAGAGGAAGGAAGTAGCTACCAGTAGTATAGTCTGGCTTAAAGACCATTAGTGGCATCAAAACCAACAAAACCACAGTTACAAATACATGTCATATGTTTTACAATTTACAGCTATATAGAGATAATAATTTTCACGTAATTTTGGCTAAATGATTAAAATAATTTGTGCTAAAATTTGTCACACTCCCCCCCCCCCCCCCCCCCAAAAAATGACATCAGAAAGTCAATATTCTAGACAGCACATGAACTTAAACTTCTTGCGATATAAAAACCTGTCATACATGTACCCAAATAGAACAAGTTACATCATTCTCAAGTGCATACGTGGGAATGTCAGGCTATATTCCACCTTGCAAATATGATACGATAATCTTATCTTTAACCTGGCATGCCATTTTCCCTGATAGCAAAAATAAAGATAACCCTCTAAGTCTTATGGAGCATAAAGAAAAATACATGTATGACTCATAAGATAGTATTTGCTGACACATATGCTTTTGAATAGTAAGATATATGTTTCAAATTTCTCAAGTAGGCCTGCAGGTTTATCAACTTGAGTAGCTCAAATAACATTTCATTAAAAACTTTATTGCAATCAGTTCCTATGGTCACCCATAAACAAATTTTTTTTTCAAAAGGTGATTAACACATAGTTTTTCCCATATATATATATTTTTTTATTTTTGAACATCTGTGAAATGTGAATCCATCATAGATTTTTTTTTTTTAACAAACATTAACAAACATAACACACATTATATTGTAGCTTTTTGCTGAACATTTTTCTGTTTCCTTTTGCTGTGAAGAATATCAGGAACCTTGCAAATTCCTGTAACTTCCTAAATATATCTAATTGTGCTGAGACTTACTTCTTTCTCTTCAAATCTACAGAATTAGAAGGAAAAAAACGTTTTTACTTCAAATATTAACCATTGCACTATTTTTATCAGCCAATCTGTGATAAGCCTGATACAGTCTGCCCACATTATTTTTTTAGTGCATATTACAATGTATATTTAAGTGGATGGCAGCTCCATAAAGTTTCAACAACTGTAATCAATCTTTCCAAAGTTGTGCCACATTAATCTTATTTTATCCTACAGAGAGTAACAAATTTGGCAATGATTTTTGTGCACATTCAAAAGCAAAATCATACACGAACACAGGCACATATGGTAGACACAAACTTCCTCAAATAATATTTATGTGTATCACATTCACAGGTGCAATATAAACACAAATATTTTGACATGAAATTTCACATTCAAGATTTATTTTACCCACTTGATTTCTAGTGAAGTGGACATGATTTAAAAAGAAAGAAAAATATTGCTTGGTTTGCAAAGGGCCTTGCCCGTTGTATAAACATTACCTTGTCAATTGACAAAAGGTTTCCTCCCTCATAAAGGTGACATGCAACCTTTTCTTCCTCCTTTGTTTAGATTGGCACACTTTATTTGAACTTGGTGGTTGGAAACTTTCATGTAAAAAGATTAATGTTTGTCACTAGTGTGTAATGTCTTAAAATTGGTCTCATCCGCTACATTGAGATATAATACCGTGTGAAACTTGCTATATTTATCTTCATTTCGTAGGAAGATGTCAAAAGCAAAATGGGAAAATGTGACTTCTATAATTTATTTGTTTTCTTGGTAATATTGCTGGTAATCTTATTCTGGCCTATTGCATCATTCAAATAAAAAACTATAAATAGAATCTTTAAATCTAAATAAAGAGTGTGTATTATTCCAAGCTAAATATAAGAACTTTTACTTTGAAATAAATTAGCAGAATCTTCTTCTTCTTCTTCTTCTTCCTCCTTCTCTTCTACTTTTTCTCTTCTTCGTCCTCTTCATCCTCTTCTTAATCTTACCAACCTCGTTTCTATGCTTTCTTAACTCTACACCACCATCATGTTCTTCTTCACTTTTCTTTATCTCCCTTTTATATAAAAATGAGTTAGGGAGATCAAATACTAATAAGAAATAAGAATTTTGAAGTTAGATATTATTTTTAACAATTTATTCATTCAAGTTCAGTTCATTAATTTGATGTCATTTAATATGAATGTTTTTATATATTGTATTTTACATTTGTAAAACATTGCCCAATTCGGCCTTGTAGGCCGCGATGCATTGTTGTTCTTTTATTCTCAATAAAACCATTATCAATTCAATTCAATTCAATACGATATATGCTCGTGCTACAATAACTATGCAGCAATTGCCTACATTAACTTAATTCCATTAATCCGCCTTTGACCCAATACTATACCTAACCCTAACACTAAAACCCAACCGCAACCCTTTACCTTTAGTCTTGACTAAATAATGCCCGGAGCAATTATCACCAGAATTAATGTGCCAGCAATTGAAAAGATAAGCATTAAAAAAGATAAGCATTCGGAAAGGCCGACAAGGCAAGTCTGGGCAATGTAACATACAGCAAAGGCAAAATTTGTCTAGGCAGCTTCTATATGTACACACAGGATCATCGTAGTTTTAATGTTTGCAAAACCTTAGAAGTTTTAAACAACTATCACTCACAATGAGGGTTGACGCGGGACCGAAAACAATGAGCATTGAAAGCTGGGCGAGCAATTATGACCGTTGTGACCTTGCAGTCATCAGCAAGGCACATAACCGTGAGTGAGGATTTCCTGCGGCTCGTAGTTATTGCCCTAACCATAAGATCGCTCATGGTTAAAAACCTAAAATTAATGTAAAGTTGCAGACATTCAAAACCATGACCTAAACCATAAGTTTGTGGACCCTTCTGTTTGTACATGTACACTTCTTATAAAGATATCAGGTTGCTTAATCTCTCTCGTAATTCTTAGAAAAACAAAATGTAGTTCTTATCTATCCAATGACCAATAAAGGATGAATGGTCTTATTTGTTGAAGAAGTCGACACATTGTCATGTATTCAAACCTACAATACCTGGTTTTACAGGTCAGTGTATTATTTGGCATTCTTAAATATCATTATCATCTAGTATTGATGGGGTATGATCTACTAAATATCATTCACCCTCCTGGTCATCCATCCCTGGAAGGAATGTTTCCATGTTTGTGCCACTGTTTAAAGCCTATCTGCACTAGTTTGGCCAGGAGGGATTAGACCTCCTTGCATGGTCACTGACAGGTGGTTATCTCATCAATTAGATCTCAATTAACATATTAAGAAAAAAGGGCTTAGGTTTGCTATATAGAGGACGCAGGTAGCTATAAGTAGTGCAGTGGGGCTTTAAATGATATAGTGAAAAGAGTAAGAAATTTTGGGATACAAGATGCAAGGAAAAAGTGACATGTGCAATTTTACTAATGTAGACTAGAAATTCTGGAGCATTGTAAGTTTGAAACCACCTAAAAAGAAAGTCCTTCCAATAAGATTAATATCTTGATCTTTATCACAATGCTTGTGAAAAGAAAAGAAATTGCATGTTTAAGACTAACAGAAACAAAAAAAGGAAAGAGAAAAAATATAATTGTCTACATTGCCCAACAATCCTCGCACTCAAACATATGCTATTAATTATCCCTTGGACCAAGCTTCCTGCTACGTAAGTTATGAATGGGTCTAGTGGTAAGACCTTTGTCTTCGCCTTTGTTTATACAGACCGACTCTGACAGATCCTGGCTCAAAAATTAGTTGCGTCTTTTGGATGGGAACTTGATTCATACATTGCTCTTTCTTTCTTAACAAATTAAATTGGATCATCAAGATAGGCAGTAATCACGTGTGCCTTATTTCAAATAATGCAGATATAATGGAAATTAGATTGACATTGAGGGAGAAGCATTTTATGAGACTTATTGCATATTACACAATATCAGAAATTCTGTTGATGAGATCTAAATTCACAGGAATGTACTCAATCAAAACAGCAAACAGAGTGTAAATTATAGGTTTTAAATCCAATCAATCAATCCCCCCAAAATGTATTTTTAAACGTAACAGTGAAAAATGCCTTTCTAGCAAATTTGCATAGAGTACAATATAATCTATACGACTTGTGGTAGTCATACTTGGAAATATTTGGAGATTTGATTAATAAAACAAAAGCCAAATAAATAAGCCTATGCAAAAGCAAGATTTATTGAAGGAAGTGTTCTTATAGAAATGGGGGAGGAGGGGGAACTCAAGAGTCATTCATGGAGCACTTTCAGACGTGATTATGTTTCACTGCACAAAGTGGAACTTATTCATGTCAAAAATATAATATTATTTCTAATCATAGTAGAGTACAACCTGTTCATCAACCAATTCCCCCTGAACAAACCAACTGCAGTATAACACTTATGATCCATTATCAAGTTCAAAGTGATTCATTAAGCTCCTAGTACACTACAGGAGCAATTATTAAACAGCATACACAGCGGAATATATCTAGATGCAAAATATTTTTTTAGATATTTAGGTAATTCATGATACGTGCCATCTCTGTACATGTCTACTGTTATGTATTTCTAATCACAGTAGAGTACACTGTTCACCAATCAATCACCCATGTGAACAAAACCAACTGCAGAATTACACGTCTTGTCCATGCATAGAAGCAATTCCTGGAGCACCTAGTACTACAGAAGCAATTATTTTTCAATGCAGGGTGTGTTTAGCTCAACCTATCCATGTACACAAAATAGACAATATTTGGGGTCATATGTGAAGGAAAGATGGGTGATAGGAGAGTAGAGTCTTACTATTTCTGATATCCTTGTCTAGACAGTAAGGGGTGGGTGGAGTAAAAGGAAAATGAAGGGGTGTGTACATGGCAAGAGAAGGAAAGATGGGTGATAGGAGCATAGAGTCTTACTTTTTCAATTTTCTTTTTCTTACTTGATCCTTATCTAGACATTAAGAGGCGGGGGAGGGGGAGGGGGTAGGGGAGTAAAGGAGAAATGAGGGGGAGAGTACATCGCAAGAGAAGGAAAGATGGTGATAGGAGAGTAGAGTCTTACTTTTTCTGATGTCCTGTTCCAGACAGTGACTTTGTGACCTGCTTTGATAAGGTTCATTGCCATACCGGTACCCATCAGACCAAGACCAATGAAACCGATCCTAACAAAGATGATGGAGAAAAGAAGAGGACAAAAAAGGGTTAGATACTGTGAAACACATAACAGCACATGCATGTTGACACACAATGTACTTGGTACAATGGATTGAAATTGATAATTTCCCAAAATTATTTAGGAAATAATAATCTAGAAGAATTTACTTTACAGTCAGCAAGAATTAATAATACTCATGGCAGAGTAATACATGGTGAACAAGTCAATGAACCAAACAATAATATATCTATTTAGATAGCGCAGCTACTATATAACTATACTCTACTGCGCTTAACCCTTACTGTACTGGGCTATTTTGAGCACCTCATGACTGGGGGAGGGGGGCCTAAGAGGCCTAACAAAGATGATGGACAAAGAGGCCCCCCCTCCCTATGATATCGGCCATCGAAAGTCCGATGAACACGACAATGTGCATGTTTGTAGATATTTACGTAAGGAACAAAATGGTATAATAAGTTTTTTCCTAATATGCAAATTTTTGTTGTTATAGCCTAATTAATTATGCAAAAGAATGTTGAAAATGTATTGAATAAATGTTTCCTTCATCTCAAATTCATGAGGTTACATTATTTTTATGATATTTGAAAATGCATAGGTTAATTTGCATAAATTAGGAATACGCATTAATGAATATCAAATCTGGAAATATACAGGGAACTAGAATCATTACAAAAATTTTCAGACTCAACTTTTTGAATGTTAATTGAAACTCGTTATTCATATAAAACTTCTTTTCTAAAGGCCCGGTCACACAGAGGGGACGCATGGGGGACGCACGGCCGGTGCATTGGAAATTTGCAATTTTGGCCAGTGCGTTGTCGTTCGCTAAGTGTGCGTTACTCGTTCGTCGAGCGCGCTGGTCCAACGCTGGTCCAACGCTGGACCAACGCTATGCATTCGTCGTCATTCGCTGTGTGCGTCGGGATTTTTTGAGCATGCTCAAAAGTGTGCGCGGAGCTCAACGCATGAATGTACACGCCAAAGGCACGCCAGACATGCGTGGAGCGCGCTAGACCAGCGCCAGACATACGCAGATCACACGCCCTGTATACGCACAGCGCGCTAGCTACACGCCGTGCATTTTGTGTCAGCTCGCTAGCTTTTCCAGAATTATGACAAAAGTTAGGCACACAGCCTTTTCCGTGCGTCGTAGAACACGGTGCATGTGTGGACCATTCGTCCAGCGCGCCAGCAACACGCTGTGCATTCGTGGAAGTTGTTATCATGTGCGCTCTGTGTACGGTCTGTATGCGCACTGTATGCGCTCAGCGCGCTAGCAACACGCTATGCATTTGGTGTCAGCTCGCTGTAGCTTCGACAAAAGTTGGGCGCACGACAACGCACTGGCCAAAATTGCATATTTCCAATGCGCTGGCCGTGCGTTCCCCATGCGTCCCCTCTGTGTGACCGGGCCTTAACACAAAATAGTTATTTAGGTGTAATTAATAATGATAATTTATGCAAATTTGATGCGATTTTCAAATATTTATTTTCTTTTGTATTTTATTGTTTTATATTTCTTATTATATCTATTGTTTTATTTTTAATGTATTCTTCTGTTCTGGAAACCCCAAAAATTTGAAGGCAAAATTTCACTTAAAATGTAACATAATGTGAAAGAGGATGTCATTTAAGACACAATTTCAAGGATTTTCAAAACAAATATTGATGAAAGAATACAAAATTTAGGTTTTCTGTGCACAACAAAAAAACAAAATTATGTAATTTTTAAACAATATTTGTCTTCAAACACATTTTTTGTTTGTTTGTTTGGGGGGGGGGATCTTTGCAGAAGTGTGTTTTAAATGACATCCTCTTTCATATTATGATACAATTTAAGTGAAATTTTGCCATCACATTTTTGATGAATTTAGGGCTCCCAACTCTTTGGAGGGTCTTGAAGGTCTTGGCAAAGGACAGTAGTGCCTCAGCTGTACTCAAACTGTGAACCGTGTGATCCACAGTCCAGTGGCAAATCCCCTAGACCACGAAACTTCAATCAAATGTTATTGAAATGAATATATTGATTCATCTTTCATTATAACAATTTTTTTTTTCTTCTTCATTTTTTCGTGGAAGGGAAGGGGGGGGGTGTACTTTACAATACCGTCCATCTTTCCTAACTCACTTTTTCTCTGTAGGTTTGATGTCTTTCTTAGTTGTCTCTCCTTTCTGAGCGAGATGAGCCTGAAAACTGTTGTACAAGTTGAGGGACAGGAACGACATATCTGAACGGGACTTTTTGCCAGGAACTGCTGTACTTCCTCCCATACTCGGCTGAAGAGGAATAAAACAAAGTTTGTAATAGATTATTTCATGCAATGAAATAAAAGGCATCATCACATGGCTCAACACTAGAGGCATGGCTCACTTTGGCTAAATATTTATTTCTGGATCCCCCCCCAAAAAAAATCTAAAAGTAGATATGGGCCAAAGGCACACAAACTACAAACTGTCATTTTTTAAAAATGGATTAATCTTCAAATTCAGACTTAAAACTGTGAAATATATAACACAAAAACTGAAAACAAATAACATATTTATTAGTTTTTCCCCTTTTTTTTACATTCACACCAGAGTAATCTAAAGAAAAATCCAGCCTTAATAGCAAATTTCTCTGAAATAAAGCAGGAAAAAATTAGAGGAGCAGATTGGTGAAAGTTTGAATTAAATCCAACAAACAATAAAACGTAATGACCTTTAACATGGTTTAATCACTATCACAAGGAAATTTTAAATTGGCCAAATTAGTAATGCCACTGTGAATGTAGTGGCAGACAACTCTTCCCTTTGTTCCAAAACACACTACTCTATTCTTACTCCATTCTAACTTCATTCTTACTCCATTCTAACTTCATTCTTACTCCATTCCTACTCCATTCCTACTTCATTCTTACTCCATTCCTACTTCATTCTTACTCCATTCCTACTTCATTCCTACTTCATCTTTAATTCATTGTTACTCCATTCTTACTTCATTCTTCCTCATTTCCTCCTTCATTCTTACTCCATTCCTACTTCATTCTTACTCCATTCCTACTTAATTCTTACTCCATTCCTACTTCATTCTTTCTCCATTCCTACTTCATTCTTACTTCATTCTTACTCCATTCCTACTTAATTCTTACTCCATTCCTACTTCATTCTTTCTCCATTCCTACTTCATTCTTACTTCATTCCTACTCCATTCTTCCTCCATTCCTACTTCATTCTTCTTCCATTCTTGCTTCATTCTTATTCCAATCCTACATCAGTCTTACTTCATTCTTACTCCTTTCTGCCTCTCTACCCCTTCTCTTCTACTCTCCCCTCTCCTCCCCTCTCCTCCCCTCATCTTTTCCACCCTCCTCCTCTCCTCCTTCCCTCCCATCCCTCCTCTCTTCTACTTTTCTTACTAGTCTCCTCTCATTCCCTCCTCCCCCCCCCCCCCCCTCCGTCTCTTCTGTTTTTTCCTCCTCTTCTCCATCAGCTCTTTACCCCTCTCTCTCTTTCCTTCATCTTCTCCTCTCTTCCATCTCCCCTCTTCCTCTCTACTCTTCTCCTTTTCTCCCTTCCCTTCCTGTACTTCTTTCTCCTCCTGTTCTCCTCCTACCCTCTATTTCTCTCTCTTCCCCTACTCTACTCCTCCCTCCCTCTTTTGCTCTCCTCTCTCATTCCCTACATTAACTCCTCTTTTCTCCTTATCATGGTAGACCAACATATATGTGAAAGAGCCTTTCGAGAGGTAAACATCATGCATACTATATACAAGCTTCATACAATGTTGTATGAAATACATCGCTAAAAGTACAAAAAATTGTAGTTCTTACAGGAAGATGTTCTTTGTATGTATTGGTCACAATAAGGTGGATTCATCATTTACAGCGCCATCTAGCAACACGAGTGTTAAGTCGATTTCATGTGATGCATTGTGTGAAAAAAAGTTGTCAAATGAACCCCCATCAACAGCAGTATGGTCATTTTGGTCACTTTGGGCCAAAAATGGCCATTTGTATTTTTTTGGTCCAAAATCAGGCCAAATTTCTGTCAGAAGCAATTAACAGGTGGGTTTTGACATTCAAATTCAATATGAATCTAATGTCACAACAATAAATCCTGATGAATAAATTTCTTACAGTTCGGACAACTTTTTTCATTTTGATCTGTGGCTAGCGTTTTGCTGTGCTGCGCTGGTTGAAAGATGTCGACCCAAGAGTTGAAAAATTGGCCTATCCTCCGCAGCTTGCTGGTGAGGGAGCTGTTAATTGTGAATCCACACTATTGCATGATTAGTATGCTTACCCTCTTTTTTGGTGTGGCTTTCTTGGTCACAGTCTCTCCATCTTCCATGGGCTTGGGAGGCCTTCCTCGTTTCTTGGGGGATGCCAGGTGTGAGCTTATCTTGGTGAAGGGGGAGCTGGAATTTGACCCCTTCCCAGGTGAGCTGGGGGATGATGTCTGTGATGAATTCAACTAGGAGAAGAGAAATGGAATTTAAATCCAAAAATGAGGATTTTGCATTGTTACACTTGCTTGAATTTGCTGCAAATTAAAAGAGATTTACGCAAAATTTGAATACTTGAATAAGTAATAAAACTAATTAAGTAAAGAACATTTTAGAATGTGCAATAGGGAATATTATTTATACACTTACATTTACATGTATGAGATATATACTGTGTTTTATTGTTTTTAATTTATTATTTTTTTCATGCCATGACTTGTGATACTAGAAAGAGTAACTTCCTAATAATGTAGCTCACAAATAGATGTGCAATTCAACAGCACATATCACAATGCTACAGAAAACTATCATAGAATTCAGATTCAGTAAAAAAAGAAAAGAATGAAAGACATAAATGTGAATGTAAAGGATACACAAATGGACCAGAAGAATTGACCTATGAATAGAAACTAACAAAATATAAAGTAGATCTCTGTGACCAAAATTTCAGTTGGGGGGGGGGGGGGGGGGGGGGGAGACCCCGAAACGAAGAAAGTTTAGAGTGTCTCACCTTCTTCTTGCCTGCCATTGGTTCTCTGGAATAATCCTTGCTTGGTTTGCTGATGGACTTCAAGAAAATATCATCATCGTCATTGTCATCATCCTCATCCGAGGGAGGGTGGTATGGGGATGTGGTCTGGCCCTATGTGGGGTACAGGAATGAAAGAGAAAGTTGACTACTTGTGAAAGTTGAGAAAAAAAACTTGCTATATCTTTCTCCTTCTTTCTGTTCATGGGCATGTCTAGTGTGGTTTGTCCCATCTGTTACAGTCTACATCTCGATTCTAGTATATCCGATAATTATAATTTATACCTAATCAGTGGCCCTACTGGAGCTTGGACTGCTTGGTTCAGATCGAATATCACAGGAAATGAAAATTTAGATGTCAATTGCTGTTTGGTTTTCAATATACTTAGTAACATAACATATGGAACAACAAATGACTTGCCCTCCTCGTATTATAGGCAACTTTTTTAAACTTAATAAAACAAAATTGAGCTTGCAGAGGATATAGAGTGGTTTGTCGCAGACTCCCTATATATCATGTCTATGTCTAGCATGTGCATTCATTCATGTAGGTCTCCTTATCAATGAATATCTCCTGAATCATTTATGAGCAGGTGAGTACATAGTTTGTTTAAACTGCATAACACTCCAACAGAAGGAATGTCACATGAAAGACACTGTTCTAGAATTATTATTTGTTTAAATTTAAATATGTCTAGGAGATGTTTGTGAGTTCCCATGTTTGTGATTCTCATAAAATGCTAGTAAATATAAAATTTTGATGACTGAAAAAATTACTTAATACACAACAAATCTTGTTGACAACAATTTAAAAACTAGTAATTCAATATTAAATTCAGGTGATAGAAAAACCCAGAATAACATCTTTCTTGAATAACGGCTCCCTATTTTTTAATTTCTATTGCTTTGTCAATAGGCAAGTACAGGTACATTTTATATATCACAACAAAAATTGAAACAAACGTAACAACCAAAAACTCAATCAAACCAACATACTGTGTGTTAACAAAAAACATTTCTTCCAATAAATGAGATGCAAATATTAGATAAAAACCTTCACATGTATTTTATGGGATGTTTCTTTCCTTGTTAAGACAATTTTGTTTTCTTTCTTATTCAACCTGTTGCAACTATTGCAACTATTGCAACTATATTGGATTTTTAACAAAATTACTTTACATTCCAAAATTCCTGCAGTTATCTTCATGACAATGATAATCATGTTGACCATTCTATTTCCATAATACTACAATCACATGTCCATGAATGTCATTCTTGCTTTTGTGAGTAATTAGACAACTAATAAATTGATGCCCATCTCCCCTTAAGCTTTTATTTGGAGGGGGAGGAGGCAGGCTACAAATTCATTTAACAGATGATATTATACATATGAAATACCTTTTAAAGGTATTACAAAAGTTTGGGAAATTTTAAAAATTGGGTGGATACTGTTAAGTAAAAGAAGAAATGCAAAACACAAGATAATTAGTAAAAAAAAAAAGAACATGATAATCAGGTCTCTAAAACATTTATCAATACCATTTCATCTCAAAATGTCTTTGGTTAGTGCAAGAGAAATAGTCAAGTGTAAGAACTGGAAACTTAGTAGCCCAATAGGGCAACTAGCTGTAGTTAGTGTTAGCATCAAACACAGTAACATACACTGACCTCAGTTGGTGTCCCTACAGATTGACCATTGGCATGCGATTCCACATCAAACTATGGACATAATAAAATCTACATTTAGCATGGGTCTTCATACAACAGTTACCAAATTAAATTATTATAAGATTTACATTTATTTATTGAACTGTAACCATTGCCCTTCAAACGCTCTTCAGTAATTTACATTGTAAGTCTTTTACTTAATTGCAATTAGCAGGATATTTGGTCGAGATAATCATCCCGAGATATCTTGGGCTTGTTTGCAAAACGTCCCACTATTTGGCAAACTATCCCGCTATTTGTACGGTGCGTCTTCACCAGCCCAAAGACTCGCACTATGCGCGAACGCTGAGCAAAATATTTCGAGCTAATAAAGATGCGATTTGTAACTTCGGATGTATTTCCAAAATCAGAAATAGCTGGATATTTGGCAATCTCGAGATGATGAAGACAAACCTCATGTCATCACAAATCCTGTAGCAAACATCGCAGGTCAAATGTCGGCAGATCAAATGTAGGATCGCCTCCCCCCCCCCCCCCCCCCCGGAAAAAAATATACGAGGGTCCCGAAATGCCAAAAAGAGCCCCCCAAAAATTTGCTTAAGAGTTCAATGCCAAAAAAAATGAAAGAGCAATATTTTCATGCAATCAAGCTTGAAAAGAAGTCTCCAGAATTGTTTTAATATTTTTCCCTGAGCGCCCCATATCTTACCTTATTGGCCTGGTCCTTGACAATAGCCTCCTCGATGGCATCGATGGCCTTGGTGAACTTGGCTCCTTTCCCTGCCTTTGAGAGGGTAGCCTTGTGCTCATGGTAGTGCTTCAGACTCTCCTCCTTCACCCAGGCACTGGAGAGAAAGAAAAAGGACAAATTAATATTAGATAGTAAAAAAATTGATGTATAATTTACGCGATGAAAAGTTACTTTTCATAAGCCTTAGCTTGCGATGATGACTATGAGGAAACATTCTCATGTAATCTCTTTAAAAAGACATACAACATGAAGTAATACACTGTACATGTAAATAATATTTGTAAGGCACCAAAATCCACTCGAAATTAAATGCTCAATGAGCCCTAGAGCAAAAGATAAAATCATTTTAAAAGCATAAACACTGTACACAAAAACAGGGTAAGATAGAACACACAAAAATGAAATAACTACATGATTATCAAACAGAAACATTTTTTATATTATTTTTGAATACTTCAATAGATCTGCTATCATGAATCTCTCGAGGGAGAGCGTTCCACAGTAAAGGCCCTCTTCCTACTTAGTAGGTATTGTGGTCCAGTGGATAAGTCACCCGACTGCAGATAACAAGGTACGGGTTCAAATCCCAGCTCGACACCAATGTCCTTTGGCAAGACGTTAATCTACATTTGCCACTCTCCACCAAGGTGTTAAATGGGTACCCAGTAGGATGCGAAAGTTAATGTAGTTTGCTCAGCATTGTGAGCGTCCGTAAAATGATGACTGGCTGGAATACTCCCCAGGGAGTGGAGAATGTGCATACATTGTGTGCGGGCAAGCCTGAATCCGATGACAGGGGTAATAATATATTTGTAAAGCGCTTAGAGACATCATTGATGAATTAAAAGCTATATAACAGCAGAATATAATTATTAGTAGTCAGCTTAGGAAAAACAAGTAGATGAAAGATGAAACAATGATGGTAAGAGACAGAGAAACAAAGACAGAGAAAGAGAAGAGGGTGAAAGCAAGAAGTCAATGGAAAAAAAAGTGACAGAAGAAAGTCAAAAAGAGACAGTAAAAAAAAAAAAATTTAAAGTGAGGGGGGAGCAAATAGAGGGGTTGAAAGTTGGTCCAGGCCGACGATTACCCGTGCCAGGGAGAGCGGCGGCCGCTGGCATGGTACCGTCGGTAAAAATGTTTCCCAACCCAAGCACTGTCAAACTCACCACTCAGAAACTGGGACCAAATGTCCGGATTTCTGTTTGGACTCGGAGGATAATGGACTATTCTGCCATCTTTGGTTTTTAAAACAGCATCGTTTACTGTTATTATTATTACTAAATTGGCGCCTTCAACTGCAACTCGAATTAAAATTGCATGCGTTTTCGGCGATACTGGGATATTGCACCAGTGGTATGATGGTGGCAAAAAAAAAAAAAAAAATTGAAAAAAGAGAAAAAATAAAGAAATAAACAAATTCAAAAAATTCAAAAAAAATTATAAAAAACATGGCGTCCGAATATTTTAGTATTCACTTGTAAGCCTGGGAGTGTACTCAGGTACCTCATTACACTGTTGTGCACAGCCTTAGTACTCAGCAACTGTTACTTACTGATCCTCTGTTCCAAAGAAGAAGACGAAACGAACAGCCTTCTTGCCTGCTGGCTTCTTTACGTTCTTCCATTGCTTCACAATCTGTAAAAAAAAAAGAGAAAAATTGTGTTAAAAGGTAGTGTCAAATCATTATTCAGGAATAACCATTTGGTTTTACCGATTTGGCCTGAAAAGAGGCTCAAACCTGTTAACCCCTATACATTTTCTACAAGAACAGAACATAGGAGGAAGGACTGAAATATATAGATGACAGGGGCTAGTATCAAGCAAAAGCTGAAAACTAGTACGCCTGATAATTGAAGTGAGAATATTCTACTTTACATTACATCCTTCTCCCAGGATAGTGGATTCCAGTAGTACTCAAACCTTTTTACTTTCTACAAACATTTTGAAATTGATGACAACAACCTAAGAATATCATTACTGCTTCATACTCTCTGTCTTATGTGTGAAAGGAAGGAAAAGCAGTCACGTACAGACACTTGATGCATATGTCTTTGCTAGTGCCTCAATATGAATCATTTCATTCACCTGTTATGAACAATTGTATTTCAAGAGTCAATACCTTATGTGTTGTTGGATGGTGCAAGCATGTTTGTCTGACCTAGCAGTAACTAATGTATTCAATTTGCATTCTGACTATTGAGATACAACAGGTGAATGCTCATGGCTAGGTAATAATGTACACATTTGAATACCTTTAGAAAAGGTTCCAGTCATTCTACAAGTTTCATTCGAAATCCAGAGAGACAACGGAATGTTTATCAGTATCACAAAACACATGATCTAAAACAGACCCTAAAATTGCTTTCACATTTGTGTTCTTCGTGGATAATCACAGAAGACACAAAAGGAAATGAATACTTACTCGGCCTGGCCATGCAGGGAAGCTGCTCATCTTAGCCCTGTGAAATAAATATCAAAAGGAGAAGTAAATAAATGAAGTGGTGCATCACTTTATGCATGGCTTTTGTATGCAAAGACAATCATTTTTACTTTTGAAATTCATCCACCATAAAAAAAAAAATTCATCTCTCAAACAAACTGATTTCACATTTAATCAGAGAATAGGAAATGATTGGTATTTCTTCTTCATTTCTCTTTTTTTCAAATTTCAAAGTTGCTCTAAAAACCCATCTCTTTCTAAACAGTGCTATTTAACAGCAATGAGCAATAGCTCATGCAATAACGATATGGGAATAAGATATTTCATCATCCTACGAAGACCAAAGTAATTATGAACTTCTGGTTTAATGATGCCAGAATCGGCACAGACCACAAACAGATAGTTCTGTGAGTGTTGTTGATATATTTATGGTTAGATCGATGGGTTTCTGATCTTTTGAGCATACTGATGTGTGATGTCCGAGACAATCCCTCAAATGTGAAATTGATTAAAAGTGATCATAAATTCTTTAAAAGCAAGATTGAAAAGTATTATATTAAAAATTAACAAGGGTGATGACTAATGTCACATAAAATTGTGATCTGCTGATGTCTGACAAAGTACCACATGAAAGACTCCTGAGAAAAATAGCCTTCTTTGGTGTCCAGGGTAACCTCCTCTGTTGGATCAGAGCCTTTCTCACAGATTGTGTACAACAGGTTGTACTGGATGGAACAAGTTCTATTCCGGCAGATGTGACCTCGGGCGTACCCCAAGGGACTGTCCTCGGGCCCCCTTCTCTTCTTGGCTTACATCAATGATCTGCCAGACTGTGTCCGTTCAGAAGCTCGGATGTTTGCAGATGATTGTGTACTATACTGACACATCAACTCACAAGCCGACGCAGACACACTCCAAGAAGATCTTAACCACCTGCAAGACTGGGAAACCAAGTGGCAGATATCTTTCAACCAAGCAAGTGTGAAGTCCTCAGAGTGACCAACAAGGTGAAAAATGTCATCCGTTCACCTCACTCACTCCATGGAGTTGAGCTCCCAACTGTAGACAATGCCAAATACTTTGGAGTACACATCAACTACAAGCTAAGCTGGAAGACACATGTATACAACACATGCAAGAAGACCAACAGCACACAAGGATTCCTTCAGAGAAATCTGCATGGCTGCCCCAATAAAATAAAGGAACAAGCATAGATGACATATGTACGCCCATCCTTGACTAAGCTTCAACAGCTTTGGACCCTCACTGCCAAGATCAAATTCGAAAACTCAAAATGGTTCAGAGGCGAGCTGCTCGGTTCACTCTAGGAGACTATCGCCCGAGACACAGTGTAACCGAAATGCTCCACCTTCTAAAATGGCAGTCTCTCTCCGAAAGAAGAGCTCATCTGAAAGTTACCATGCTATATCGTATCTTGCATGGATTGATTGCCATTCCTCCTGAACCACCCTACATCTACCCAGTATTACGATCATCTGGAAGATGACAAGCTCAATACCGACAGCAACTCTGCAGGACCTCTGGGCTCTGCATGGGTATGAAACTCCTTCTTTCCCAGTGTCATCTGCTTATGGAACCAGCTCCCTACCACTGTGACAGCAGCTTCTTCTCTGGAACAGTATAGGAGGCAGCTGGTTGGGGTGACTCTGTGTCAAAACTAGCTGCAGAAGGAGTTATTTTTACTTGCACAATGAACCCTTTTTATTTTTTACTACTCAATTCTAAATCCGTTTGGGACCTCTTTTTTGGAGGCTCGCACAATGCAGCATGGCACACTCGTTCACAGTTACACAACAGAACGAAAAATACTCTACCCAGAGCGAGAAAGAGCGAAATGAGAAGACTCTAAGACAGCAAGTGGAAGAGCTAAAGAAAAAACATGACTATAAGGAACAACTTTTGGAGCAACTTAAGGGTGAGACCTGGAAGCTGAGAACCAAAATTCAACTAGAAAGTGAGATACGATCAGCAGAGCAGGCAGAGGACTGTACTTGCACTGGAAGAAGAAGAAGAGTGATGTTTTGCCCCAAAATACACTTCACTATTTTTGGAGGATGAGCGTGTTTGGCTTGAGCTCATTTAAGATCTAAAAAGACTAAATGCCAGCATTGACGGCCCCTGAGCTGCGATGGGTGCGGTTGCAGCTTTGTCTTTGAATTGACGCTGATCAAGAGTTTCCCACACCAATCACAATCCTGAAACTGGTGACAAGATGATACAATCACACAAACACACACACTATAAAACATCAGATTTTGTAGAAGTTAAAAATATATCATGACCATTAACAAACTGCAGCTGATTTTCTTAGACCTTTTTTACAAAAATGATCAAGACAAGCTAGGCCTAGACCTAGGCCTAGGCCTAATCAATCATTTTATTTATCATGTTTATCTTGATCAAAATTTCACAAATCACTCAGAAACTTCCTCATTCACACTTTCATACTGATCATTCATTAACAGATAAACAATTCTACTCCTATCCAACCTCCAAAATATGTGGTCAACAAACAACTACAGGCAAATTATTTCAGTTTGGTAATATAACTTCAGAAGAAATGAAGCCAACGTCCTAGGTCTGTCGTCTGCGCCTTGATCACAAGCCGCTAGCCGTGAGCTGAGGCAAGGCACGCGTGGGACTATTGAAAAGCAAACAAGAGACGCTACACTGTGCGGACACAAATTACAACTTCTTACCAAACCAGGTCCCCTAAATCAAAAGCCTTATCATCCTTGTTCTTCTTAGGAGTCTCAGCATCATTATCCTTGTCATTTTCAGGTGGATCTGAGCTTGGAATTTCCATTTCTTCGGTGGCTTGGGGGTCAACTTCGGCCTGTGGTTCCGCCATTTTTGTTAACTTTTCCAAATTTCGCGTGCATTTCGCGTGGGTTGATGTACCCCATCTGTTGTCAGCTACAGTACAATGTGACGACGGAATTATTATTTTTCTGATCCTGAGTTGTTCCGATTTGTATCGAGAAAAAACTTGCTTAGGGGGTCCCATACATATTAATGCACCCTGATGTCTAGAATCATTTTTAAAGAAGAAATAAATCGAGGAATACTAGACACATTTCCCCCAATTACAGATGACAAATTAGATTCACGTTGGATCAACACAACGCTTTTAAATTTAAAATAGAGAGGATATACAACCAAAACATTTGCAACATTTTGGGGATTTTTTTTTTCTTTCTTCATGTTTTGTGACTGAAAACTATTTTCACCTCTATTTCACCTTACATTAAGAATTTGTAGTGCTGAAGACGCACTGATGGTAAACAATCTTATTTGGCTGCAACTATGAGGCTTTTACAAAAAATATAGGGCTGCATTGTTGTATATCAAAATGCATGAAAATGGAGGCTAAACGAAACCCGAAATGGGTTGGATCATTTATTTACCAAGAACTATACACACCCTGTATCTCGGAATTAGCTAATTTCAAAAGAAATGCCCTTAATGAACGATATCAACATTTTCATTTGATAATAACATATTTCTACACTTCTTCAATCTTGTATGGTAACTTATAAATTGAAAATTAGATTAGTGGAGAGTCACCGTCGGGGGAAATAGCTCCGTGTTTCAATTCAAATTTATTTCATTTCGGACAGGATAAACAAATTTACTACAGATATTATTACAGAAAGTATGACAAAAAATGTATGTACATAATATTTTTGATTGGACTGACTGACTAATCTATTACAACATACTAACATTAAACGAATAATACGACTGAAACATCTAGAAAGTAAATCAGTTACAGTACGTTGCGTTAAATTAAATGATTCTCATACACTGAATCGGGGCTTGATGGCATGAACTTCCGTTACAAACAACAACAAAAACGAAAACAATTAACAACAACAGAACTTTTACACATTACACAAAAGAGAAAAATTGGAGAGAAAAAAGCTTGTATTTTTTTAATTACATAAAGGGTGTGGGTGAAATGAGATGTGTGAGTGTCAGGAGGAAAATGTATCCAGAATCATAAAGTGTTACTTTGTAGATGAGAAACATAAGAAATTAGTACAAAATTAAGATGTCTTAGGTGTCATTTCGAAACGTATACAATTTGAAATAATGTAAATTAACATTCAGAATCAGATATTTGAATCGTACATTTCCCATAATTTTTAAAACTTATCAAGAGGCTCTTTTTGAAGAATTATATCTATATGCTAGTCCTATAAATGTAATAATTATGTTTTTTCGTCTGCGCCTATAACCATAACATTCTAGTACTTCCTTTATTGATAGGTGGTTTGAAGAAAAAAAATAGGTGCAACCCATTTTTAACTGAACAATTTTGCTCGAGATATTGTTCGATTTCCTCCCATCTTTTATTTTGGAAGAGCGCCAGCATCAGTCGGAAGGCTTACAGTGTCGTCTGCTTGAATAATATTATTATGAAACCATTCTCTCTATGGGTTTTGATATTGAAAGTAGTGGTAGTTATAATTTCATAGAGGCGGCGCACCGCCCCAACAGTTTTCATGGAAACTGCCTGCGTTTTATTGGAATATGTCATTTATGTGGAAGAGCGCCAGCATTACATGGAAAGCTTACAATGTTGTCCGCTAGGGTCGTATGTAAGGGTTCAAAGGCGTGTTGGGGGAGGGGGGGGGGGGGGGGGACTTTGGGAACTGAATCCCCCTTATGCGCCATCCCTCCCCCACCCCCACCCCCCAAAAAGAAAGAAAATGAATGCTCCTTAGAGACCAACAATTGTTGTTAATAACGTTTAGAAGTTTTTAAAAATGTGAATATAATTTGTTTTAATCACTATACGGTCAGTGAATCATTATAGGCCTAAGCAAATACACAATCAATACATAAAACGAGTCAATGACTAGTTTTGTTTTAATTTATTGTTTTATTTTTTGTTATTTGGATGAGTTGAGGAATCCATTAAATATAGAGCAAACTTTTGAAAGAAGTGTCGATCACATCGGGGCGGGGGCAGGATGCCACAAACAAAAATAGGAAGCCTTTATTGTCATCATCATACTTCAGAAAAATGTAAAAATGTGATACTTTTAGATGTGGGGGGGGGGGAGGGGGTTGAGGTCACTTTTTCCCCTCCCCCGTCCCCGTGGCAGATTCCTTTGACCTCTCACTATCCAATCGCGATCTTTTCAGGTCAAGTCTGATGCATTGTGAGTTTTGTGACGTCGAAAATAGTCCCGCTCTCAAACTTTTTCTTCTGTTATCTTCTTTCCTTTCCTTTCTCTTTTTGTATAATATTAATACTCATGGGAACGGTCATTTTAATACTATTGATATTCTCGAGTTACAAGCATTCACAAAGAAGTCCAACAAAGAATTATGCTGATATTTCTCCCTTTGGGATTAACCTTTTTCAGGAAGAGTGAAAAAGTGGTTAATTGTTTGAATAACTTACTGACATTAAATGCGAAGTGCAAATTGAAAAAGGAAACCTGACATGATGGAATTGGGAATTGAAGAAAAAGTTAACACCTGCGCCATTTTTATTTGAGTTCCGAAAAGGGGCGACTTAGCACACTTTTGCTAATAATCACCAATGAAATATAAGTGTTATGACATGAAAAGGGGAGAAGTGTAAAAGAAAATATGCATTCAATTCGGCGAATCATCCAGCCTGTTTGTAGTCGGTTATTGTCTAAAAATTGGACAAAGTGTCGTTGCACCACAAAAAGCACACACATCATCGCAATCCGATTTCAACGTCTATGTAATGCCGCTTGTATGAAATTTCTATTGTTAAAACCTAAATGAACTTTCGTACTGCTGCGTTCTATGCAAATAAAACAAAGAAAGGCGACGTCACTTGAAGGCCAAATCACGTGATTGTTTGGCGATCAGATTTTTCTGTTTGATCGTGAGTACGTCCTCGAGATCCAATGCAGAGCGCAGTACTCAAACCAGATTTAATTCAAGTCTATGTTTGCTAAGTTGAAACTATGATCGCGTTGATGCGGTGTTTCAAATGAGAAGAATGCATTTTGCTCTGCTGCCATCACTTAAAAGTTTTCGTCGGCTGTTCTGTACTTAAACCAGGCACACCAGAGTACGCCGTAATGGTTCACTGGCTATGCAAGCGGAGACGAGCCGAGGTGACAAGCCGTAGCCAACCCGACGTATTGAGTCACTATATTTGACGATAAAGTCGTGGCTGTCGAGGTTACTACACAACAGCTAGCGAGTAGCGGTAAATACTATTTCTTTGTTCTTGACTGCCTAAATCGTCTTGTACATTATCAAATATTTGTGTAAAACTGTATTTAGTTGTGAAAAAGCATCGTCAAATCAACATTTTAAACGTCAAAGAGAACTTGAGGCCAATTGCTGGTTGCTTGGAGTTCGTCGGGTCACGAAGCGGAATCTAACTTTGTTTGGCAACCAGGCAGACGACAGCTGATGGTATCGCGATCGGTAGTGCTTCGCATTGAATCGGATTTGTAATTTCTCTTTTATTACATCGGCAGATGATCCTCGCACCATAATTCACTTCCATATAATTTCTTTGAGTCTTTGGAATGATGAGTTATTTCTCCTGTCCCACTTGAAAGGTCGATATTGTATACATGCAGGATTTACGACCAAATACATCGCTCGAGTATATTTTTCTTTCTACCAACAAACTCTGTACCATTGGCTTTGCACCAAGTGGAATACACGTAGGAGAAACATAGGAGGAGAAGATCATACCGTACTGTGGAATATAATCCTCATCTAGAGCCAGGATCGGAATTCGTTCCTTGCAGGTATGTGCCATTTCTTTATTGTCACTTCATTCTGATTTCATTGAAGTTCTGTGCAAAAGTTAGAAGTGGTGGTGGTGGTGGTGGTACACCCTAGTAGTCGTATTAGTAGTAGCGCATGGCGGTAAGAGGCAACAGCAGCAGCAGCAGTACAGTAATTGTTTGCACAAGACTAGTTCATGATCATATAATATTTACCTGTTGGGAGAGGATGATATAGAATGTCAAAAGTAGAAACAAAGTTTCATAGCTGAATTATAAAACGAAGTTGTGCCTTGATTTGTTCATCATGTTTCTCCGTGAAAATATCAATGAAACTCCTACATTACAAATGTGATGTAAGATTTAAACTGCTATCATGAAAATAATAATAAGGTCTCTATTGCATCCTAAAGCTACTGATGAATATATCACTCATTCTGTTTTTCAAGGTATATAGAACTTGATATCTACCTTTGGCTTGTGTTCCTTTTGTTAGACTTGGTATTTTTACTCTGTCACGTTCCAAGAAAAAAATATTGTTAAATGTCCATTGACTTTTTACATGTATAGGAGTAATGATATAGCACAGCATTTGATTTGACTCTCCTTATTTGCTAATCATTTCTTTTTATTCAGTGTATACCTTTTAGTTTTTTTTTAAATGCTCCTGCCCTATTGTGTACTATCTTTATACTTTCCGTCTCAAACTTTATCTTTCTACCTGCTACCATGTACTATTTCTTCTTACATCAGTAATAATTCCCCCTCCCTCATCTTTCTATCTCTCTTTTTTTTCTTCTCCCTATCACTCCCTCCCGGCCTATCTTCCTTTTCTCCCTTTCCTATGTCCTCAATAGCGTTTCTCATGTCCATTTTCTTTTTCACAAGAGCCCAATATTTTTTATCTCTTCATCACCCTTTCTCCCCTTCTTTCTTTTCCCATCTCCCCCTCCTCTCCCTTCTCCTCTCTCTTGCCCTTGCTCTGTAATTGGACCCTCTCTTCACACCTAATACATTATACCACTCTGTTACCCTCATTTCCAAGAAAATTTAACACATTATAAACTGATCGATATTGGTTACGAAACTTCTTATTACATAATATTGAGAAGAATGGTGAGAAAATCAATACAATCTTCCACCCAATTCATGCTATAAGTATAATAAAATTATCGATTCACGACAAATTCTGATTAAATGACCATGAAGGCGAAATTCATCTACCGTTCTTGTAATATCCAATCAAAACTCAAATCGAAACAAATTGCTTGAACATCTTATACATCTGGAAAATGTATTCTATTCAAATCCAAATAATGTATGAATAAAATACCAAATAAAGATACTTTGAACGTGAAAAATTAGCCTATGATTTTGCTAAAGAGTTGATTTGGTAAAAATACACCTTTTGAAAATCATTTGACTTCTATAGATTTGTAGAAATAAATTGAAGGCGAGGTCATAATTTAATTTGTCATTTTCATTGATATCATAGTTCACTACAGATTTAGAAGCTTAAATTTCATTTTTATTTCGTATTTTAGCTGTGACTTAAATCGCCAGTTGTGTTATTCCAAAGTCGGAGTTGAAGATCTTTGTTAAAACTTATATCATTTCGAAATGGCCGATATGAGTGAAATCGACTTCAAATGATCAAGTTGACAACCTCATTTTTCACATCTATGGTTTTGACATGCACGTGTCAATAATGATTGCTGTCAGAAACCCTTAGGCATCAACGATAATACCTTTAATCCTCATGTCTCCCAGTGAACAGCGAAGGAGAAAATAATCATTCGAGGCCTCTCAGTCACGAAATTTGTCTCGTTTGAACTCGGGATGATATTAGTCTTCACCTGACGATATAATCCTGCCCGTCAAAGGTGGAGAGTGGTCCCAGCCGGGGTCGAGGTGGGGTGATGGGGGGGGGGGGGGGGTCACCGTACTTGACCGTACTTGCTACAAGATGCAATTGATGCAAGTGAACAGGGCAATCGAGTGAAGGACACTTTATGAATGGGGGCGGGTTGGAATCATCTTCTTTTCATGATGCCAACCCCTACTTTTGTCTATTCTCTCTTAATTATTTACCTCGTACCATTTATTGAATGGGGGATATGTGCCCCTTGCCCCCGTAACCATACGCCACTGCTGCCTATCACAATCTTTAAGTGTACTGACAAGACAAATCCAGGTGGGTTCAGGAATAGCACGGCGTGCAAACAAATCGATCGATGTACATATTAATATGTATACATCGTGCTTAAACTCACCAATTTAGAAATAAGTGGTGCATGTGTTATACCCATTGTTGAAATATGATTTGATATTTGAAACAGCGGATTGGATAGAATTGAGAGGTGCAGTATATTAGAAAATAAAAGTTTTTTAAATAGTGTAAGATTTTGTCTGAATTAGAAAATTATGTAGAACGTAATATACGCTTAATTTTCTTTAGAAGAGGCATTTAATCTGCGTTATGGAATGATTGCTGGATGATATATGTGACAATGATGGAAGATATATGTTAATAATTAAGTATTTATTTGGATCATTATGAATTATTTATTTGATTTAAAAAATAAAAAAAATCTAAAGGAGGTATTCAGACGTGAGGAGACATCGAAAGGTATAATGAGAGGGACAATAAGTCAGATGACTTAGGTTAGATAATAATATGTTAGAGGGATATTAAAAGGATATATATATTACTACATCGCGATATAAATTTTAATATTTTCAGGAAGGTTTGGACCAAAGATTTAGGCCAAGCATTGAAATCTGGAATGCAAGAGCAAAATCAAATCCAAAATGGTGTATAAGGTAAAAGATAAAATGCTTGTTCGACCATGCCTCCTTTCCCAAGGGATTATCGAGTGATATTCGTCCCAGATGGGTGATGAAAACTCTCTTTGAACTTGGTCTTTACTGGTGGTTTTAGCCAAACTGACCATGATTGTTCTCTAGGGAACCCCCCCCCCCCCACCTCCTGAATATTATTTGAAGTGACCCTCTGCAAATACCATGATATTGTTGTGCGGTTTATATGTGAACAAACACTGGGGTCGGCCAGAGCTTTGAACAAAAAGCAAGTGTTTTCTCTCTCCAAAGCCTGCAGGTATAGACGTGCTAAGGGTGTATGGGTGACGGTTGTAAGCCCGTGACCTGAACAATTACAGTTTCTTACTTCACTCGTCTTTGTACTTTTTGAAACCACATTTTGTAAATATGAAATTAGCGTGTTTACTCTGTAAAATTTGTGGATTATTTGTGTCAATCACTGGCGATTATTTGAGGTCTGATTATGGATAAGGTACACGTGTATAGACTTTGTGCCCATTATAATTCCCGTGTTGATTCTTGGCAGATGTTGAAGTCTTTATACCGTATGACCCTCCATTTGTACGGCTGTGATATACACAGCAATTACTGTCGGCAATTATTATAATTATTTGAAATGTTGAATGCTGCCATTATTATTCTCACAGTAATCATCTTTATTTATTAGTAATGAGTCTAAACGGTTTTGATCGAAATTAATGTTTTGTCGTCTTCATCATACCAAGTCACTCCATTAACTGTGCATCTACTTGACCCCCCCCCCCCAAAAAAAAAAAAAAAAAAAAAATAAAAATAACAATAATAATAATAATAATAATTTAAAAAAAATAATAAAATAAAAAATAGAATAAAAGGATAATCTTCAAGTTCCATCTACTGGTATAATTTATGCTTAATGATCTAACTCATACTCAGCACCATTCTTTTTTTTTAGATGGTAACAGTATTCCCGTAACAGTGTATGACCCCTTTACATCTGTCTTCATTGTCATCATGACCACTCTTATAAAAACACAATGCTGTGAGGTGGTGGAAGGATGGGGGTTGCCCCCATTTTAATGGCAAAATGCGGAAGCAAAGGACAGAAAGGAAGGAAAGAGAGAATAGGATTCTATAACTATTCGGAAGAGGAAGAAGAAGAAGAAAAAGACGAAGAAAAAGAAGAAGAAGAAGAAGAAGAAGAAGAGGGGGGGGGGGGTGTCATGACCCCTCTCTCTTGAAGGCAAACACAAAGATTTTTACATGCGGAAACATTCAATCTCAAAGTTACAATAGGGAATCAAAATGTTCAAATTGTTGACGTCAAGCAATGTAAACCTGTCCGTTAGACAACAATGTTTGAAACAATAATTGCAAGCAGTGAACGTGCTCAGAGAGTCAACTTCCTAACTAAATTCGAATGTTGTTTATTTACGCTTTAGTGAGATCAAATAGGAACATTTGGAACTTGTGAACATTTTCCAAAAGCATATAATTTGGTGCAATAAAAAACGTGCTCAGAGACCGACGATGATACGTTTCTCCTCCCTTACAAACTTCCTGCCCATTGTGAATGTGTTTCATCGACATCGTATAATGTATGAATGTATGTTGATACATATTTATTTAGCTCATAAAGCAACATTTGCTTCTTGCAAACGTTCCCAGACCTTGTAATCGGTCGAACCATTTCGAAATCCCCTCACTGAACTTTTTAAAAGTGCATTAATTGTTTTGTGCTAAACGACACAAACAGACATTGTTTAGAAGGACAGTGTGTCGCAGTCACGAAAAGACATAATCCTATTTGCTTGCACTCTCCGAACCTTTGATTTTCTGGAAAAGGAAATCTTTTTAGTTTGGAGGTCAGTGTTTTATTCATATTAGGCGACAGGTGAGTTTAGTTAAGCTGGTATCGGTATAGATTTATCTTTGCTCCGATGGTTTTGTTACGAAACACGAAGTTTTGAGCTGTAAGTGCGATCGTTTTTGTATTTTAACCAATGAGATATAGGATTAACCAATGCAATGCTTTGAGTAAATGGACGATAAAAACAAACAGTAAGAGTTGCAGTTTTTATATTGCTTAACAGGCCTAAATCTCGTCTAGGTCGAAATGTATAGATTTGCTAATGGCTTTCATTGGGACATTTAAGACCTTTGGTAAATTTTTCTTAGAGGAATAATAACCATTTTGTGTT